ACGAATCTCAATGTATTTGTTATCATCGCATATTATATTCAGATTTTCTTCCCGCATTTTCATTTTAGTGCAATCCTCGAAGCGGGCTAATTAACTGCTTCGACTTTCGATCAACGTGGAGCAATAATTGTTTCTTAGCCAGGGCGACTGGGATTTGTGTAGCACTGTTTATTAGCTTTCTTTGAAGGATAATAAATCATTTTGTAAAAGATTTAAGTCAACAAAAAATTTGAATTTTGGAACTTCAGAAATCCATTTTCTATCACTGTGCGTCGTTCGTAAATTCGATCCAATGCGCGATGCAAACAGGAATCGACTTGCAGAATTTGATTGTCTAAATTTTTCATAGGTCATCCAAAAGTATTGGAAAAATTTTGCTTCATCTCTTATCTAGTCATCAAACAAGGTTGCAGAATGAAATTCTCCATACAATTTCCTCTTCATATTTACATTATGGACCCAAATTCGTTTTTTTTCTTGTTCCTTTGCTCTTCCTGTTCAAATGCACATGCAATTGCAAATAATTCTTCATCAGAACTACTACTCATTTGGGAAGCGAACGTAAAAAACAGAAGTTTCGTACTAGCCCGCTTCGAGGATTGCACTAAATAAAAATGCGGGAAGAAAATCCGAATATAATATGCGATGATAACAAATATATTGCGATTCGTGCGATGCGTCCGTTGCGTCGGGTGTTAATACGCCGCGCCGTTTCGAACAATTCTGATCTCTGTTTCGATTGCAGTCTTAATCGTTTCGTTAAATTAATGTTTGTGTGTTTTGATTTCTCAAATACATGCTGCATATTTCTGGAGATATGTAATTTGTGTTTTACGTAAAATTATGATGTTTAGTATGAAAGATATTTTAGGACGCTCAATTAAAGTGTACATTGTAAATCAAGAATAATGCGAAAACGTTGTTGCATAACAAGGTAGAACTTTTTTGTGCCTTGTTACGACTTCCATATACTAATATCATTTTGTTCTCTACATTTTTTCCTTCTAAAGAAAAACAGAAACTTTTGCCACCAGGCGCCCCTTGTGTCCACCATAATGTTGGCTACATATGGGAAACATTTTTATTTATAGGATTTCCGAAAATTTTGTTTGGTGGATTGCTCCTGCATGTTTAATAACCTAAAAAGTCATTATGCCATCACTCACGTGATCACTATCATGGCGGCAAATTAAAAAAAACCACTATGAAAACGCGAAAAGTGGGGTTACATGGCAAAATATGGAAAAAAATTATTTGAAAAAAATGTTTAGAATGATATTTTAAGACCACCTGCAAAATTTGGAGCGGAAATAAGAAAAAGTAGAAAAAGGCATGTTTTGAGTCCTGGCTCTTCTATAAAATATTTTTATACGGATTTTATTGCTGGATTAGCTCCAGTAACTTGATATTCAATGTGTAAAAGTAAAACAATTCAAGATTTCACATTGAAGTCATTTCCAGAGGATAAAATCAGAAAAGTCGATTTCGAAACGGTAATTTTTTATAGCCATGCCGTGTCTTGACAGTTTGTCAGGTTTCCAATAATTTAGTGGTGCATGCTATACTTTGAATATCAAGTTACTTGAGCCAATCCAGTAATAAATTCCATATAAAACATTTTCATAGAAGAACCAGAACCTATAAATTAAAAAAAATACCATATGTAGCCAACATTATGGTAGACACTGTATAGGTAGACAAAGAGGGTGAAATGTCGATTTTCAGTTATTTGCAGCTTAAAAACAGTTGAAGATAGGTATATAACATAAAATACGTCTAGAATTTGACATAAAATCCACAAATAAAATAACAAAGATAGGTGTTTCCATTAAAACAAAGAAGTTATCTGGCATAACTCAATTTTTGGGACACCCTCTATAGATTAAAATATCATCATAAAAATAGGTTCATGGCATCATTCAAAAATGGCATCAACAAAATCAATAATCGACGTGTCCGAGCGTTTTTTCGAAAAAAAGAACATTGATTTTTCTAAGATTCCCACTGTGAAAATAAATAAACAATAAAGGCACTCGTATCTATAGTTATTATTAAAAAAAAAACTTTTGCAACATAATTTGTAAAAGTTTATTAGCTTATACCTTGATTTATAAAGCCGAAAAAAACACTTACATAACATAAATATTTTTGGAACCGTAGAATTGCATTTTCAATCACTGTGCGACGTCATCCGCACGCATCGTATATACTGATTTAATTCTTTTCTAATTATTCTGAACGGATTCCCGTGTCTACGATGCGTCCGATACGTATGTATGTGCGTTATCTCATTTAAAATGAGGCAAATAATAATTTTCGTCCGTTCCGTGTGTCCGATACGTCCGTCCGATGCGAATAAATGCGCGCTTACCTTAATAATGCACAATTTTTTTTAAACTATACATTTTGTGAGATACGTGTTATTTTTGTGAAATAATGAATGATGTATAATTTGGGAAAGTTGAGTTATTGAATATTATTGCACCTAATTGCAACCTAACCTAAACGACGCCCTAATTACGCTCTCCTTTACGTGTTAAGATTTTTTCGGCAATTTTATTAATAACATTAGAAATTGTCCCAACACAACGCGACGCCTCGTTCGGATTCTTTTTCACTTATTCTTTACTATCCGAAACAGCGTTACATCACACAAACCTCGTACCTGAATGTTTTATATTAGTATAGTCTATAAAATGAATAGCTTTGAATTTTGACCGTTATTTTTTACCAACATGGCAAATATAAAATCCCTCTGTCAAAAAAGTTGATGTTCTTTAAATTGAGTGCCTGAACGAATCAGATAGGTAACTCTTTTCGTGAAATAGAAAAGGAAAATAATAAAACAAGTGACAGTTCTTCCTCTTCTTGCAAAAATCAACACGAAATGTCATAATTATTGTCAAAAGTAAAATGTCATCAGCTTTTGACATTTCTAAATATCAGACCAATGCCGTCTCTAACAGCCTCGGAGCGAGATTTATGATATCACGCTAATTAGATACTACGGATTAATAAATATGTTGTAGAATACATGGAAAACATAATTATTCCTCGTATTTTTGGTTTGCATTTTAAAAATGTTATAGTTTGCATGAAATATTCATATTGTACAGTTAATAAATACAATATATACCTATTTATAATAATAAATACTTTAGCAAATAAAACTATGAACCATACAAATGCAGCAAATGTTTACAATATACAAATAATGAATAGGTACAGAAGATAATGGTAAAATGTAAAATACATATATTTTAAATTTTGGGGTTTGAAAATCGATCTAATTTAACAAAAAACATTCAATATCTACTAATAGTGATGTATTATTATTTGCATTTACAAAATTTATATGTATATTTTGCAAGTATCAATGTTCGAAAAATTATATTTGCAAATAATACAAATCATAGAAAAAAAGGCGTTAGCGATGGCTATGAAATAAAGATCGCTGTCATTATATATGTAAAATTATTCTAAAATTTTTGATTTTCTTGGGATTTAGGTTCGGGAAAAACGCTGATTAAGTTTTCATTTGGTTTTTCATTATTTTTATTTGGTTTAAAGAAAAACGTTTCGGCTAACATTATAGCCTTCATCAGTGTTGTGTCATATGAAAAAATAGTGTCGAATATAATCCAAAAAATTACATATAAAATATTCACACCACATAATGTTTACTGCAATTAATAATCTAATATAAATTTGTCAAAAGATGACCACATATTTTTTTAAATTATTATTCTTAACACTAAAACTATCTATATTGACTATGGAGTACGATTTCAGCCATATATTTTAAAAAAATCAAAAATTTTAGAATAATTTTACATATAAAATGACAGCGATCTTTATTTCAAAGCCATCGCTGACGCCTATTTTTCTGATACGTATGTACGATTGTATTATTTGCAAATATAATTTTTCGAACATTGATACTTGCAAAATATACATATAAATTTTGTGAATGCAAATAATAATACATCACTATTAGTAGATATTGAATGTTTTTTGTTTAATTAGATCGATTTTCAAACCCCAAAATTTCAAATATATTTTATATTTTACCCATTATCTTATGTACCTATTCATTATTTGTATATTGTAAAACATTTGCTGCATTTGTATGGTTCATAGTTTATTTGCCATAGTATTTATTACTATAAATAGGTATATATATTGTATTTATTAACTGTATATTATGTATATTTCATGTAAACTATATTATTTTTAAAATACTAACCAAAAATACGAGGAATAATTATTTTTTCCATGTATTCTACAACATATTTATTAATCCGTAGTATCTAACTAGCGTTACGTCATAAATATCTCGCTCCGAGGCTATTCTATTAGAGACGGCATTGCGTCAGTATGGCCGCAAGTTGCTAACCTAATAAAATTAACACTAGAAAAGCCCGCGGGACCTGTCAAATTTAAAGTTATTCGTTACACAGACTATAGTTTCAATAACTGCACTAGTAAAAAACTAAAATACTTAAATATTATCACAAAGCCACAATTTCAATATAATTTTAATGCGATCAACATGAGCTGTATCCGGGACGGCGCCGGCGTGAAATACATAGCGATTTTTTTTTAAATGAACTGAAATGCACCAAGCCTATAACAAAGTAAGAACAGACATTACTGTAGCATATACGAAGCGTTGTTTTGTTTTCAACACGTCGATTGATATTTTTAATTCATTTTTGAAGATTTAATAAATGATTAATAATATCCTTTTTTAAAAAATAAACTTGGATTATGTGAAGGGATTGGGATAAAACTAAAAATGCAGCAATATATGGGCTGTAACCTTACTAACTTACACTTTTTTGAGATATTATGTACAAGAGGGCATATTTTTCGTTTTGTACTTAAATGAAAACGCTAAGACTATTTTTTAATATGAGCTATAGTTACTTGATGCACTGATGCAGGGCTCTGTATATTTAACAATAACATTTAATTTGGTTTATTAACAAATTTTCTAGGGAGTCTAGATGATATGGATGATTTTAATCGATGTAGACAATATGTCAACCAAATCAAGGTTCATTTGGTTGTATTAAGAGATCTCAGACAAAAAATTACTTGGATTGTTAAAGAACAACAATGTTTAGGATTTACCGTATCGATATTCAAAACGGTCGAACAAGTAGAAAACTGGATTTACCCATTCTTTCATTTGATTAAAGTGTGCATGAATATACAAAGGTAATCGTTTAAATAGATCGATAAAACAAAAATTTAATTTCAATATAAATAATACTAGACATATCGATGTTTGGTTGGATGGTCCATTTGAGTTTTTAGATTATGAAGATACTGAACGAAGAGTTGACGATTATATGAAGGAGTTATTGAAAATTCAAAAAACTTATAGAATGAAGTTGAGGTAAGTAACTCAAATTGTATTCCTCTAATATTAGGCCAGTCGGCAAGTGCACCGATGGCGGGAGCAAATCCGGACAAGCTGGAATAAGTTTTATTTTGTTTAGTTTGGTGGCGAGAAGCACGTATTAAATTTGCACTCCCCGTATAGCCCGGATTCGGCCGCCATCTTGGAAAAATTGGTTAAATTTCGGTTTATTTTTCATTATTTGTCAATAACTCGATTTCTATCAACTTTAGTGCAAAATATGTGGAGACCAAAATTAAAGAAGAGGAAAAAATCTATAAAAAACGTTGTATGTTTTTTTTTCGTGCTACTACCCAAAGTATCGAGTTTTACGAAAACAAAATTAAAGTTTGATATAATGTACGTGTTCAATATATCCGCGGTTAACTGTACTTGTTTCCACACCACCTTGAGCGGAACCCCCGAAACATGAAGCCTAAAAACTTGTATGCTACTGGTTGGCAGTAGCCTGCTGTTGCGGTCATAATGGATGAACGCAATTTGCATTATGACCGCAATAACGGACTAAATTTTTATTGTTGCGCGACTGGTGGAAAATCAAGTTTAACCGCCTTATCTCTCAGGGAGCTGCTTTGAGGTAAAGTACCCGGCGCGTTTTTTTTAGTGGTCTCCCCATTTCCAATAGGCCTAATCCACATGTCGTCAACTTAGGTTTCTTTTGAGGTGGAAGGTTCATCAGAGTTCCTTGGTTTTTTTTATGTTACTGGCTGTTCAATATAATCTTCCTGAATGTCTTCCACATCTGTATCACATTCCGGATCTGGTTCATAAGGTGCAGAATATTCTTTTCGTTGATCTTTATCGAGAAAAAAATTGTCCTCATACTCATCTTTGTCTAATTTTGCCACCTCTAAATTATTCGAACATGATTTGCCCTGACAAAGTGCAGACATTACCGAGCAACGCAAACCTGCTTTGCGGCTACAAGATGTATTACAACCTTTGGCACATTTACATTAAATCAGATTTAATAATTCTTGGGGAGCTGCATCTTGGGAAGTAGCAATGGGCATCAACCCATTTTTTGATTTTTTCCATCCCCAATCCAGAGGTGATTTTTCATTCCCATACCATAGCTGTACCTGACTGTACGTACGGAAGGAGTGCAAGCGAGCTGCGTCTTTGGTCGGTGGTAATGATGCTAGGTTTGGTAAGCTTTTGGTAATAGATTTTACGAAACACTGATATCTGTACTTATCTAATGAGTCGCATTTTTTGGATCCATATAGTGAGAAATCGTTCTCCTGCTTTTTCTATATCTTCTGGGGATGCGTTTGGGTCTTTGAAAGTTTGTGCAACTGTCTGTAATAATTCTTTTTCTTGCTGTAAAACTTTTACGAATTTCATTTTTTCTTGTCTGTATAATGCGGATGTGGTGTCGCAGCCACAAAATGCGTGGAGAAATAAAAAGTGTTCTCGGAAAAACAAAAACTGCCTAGAATAGAGAAAATACCAACTGCTTATAATATATTCAGCGTGTTTAAACCGAGATAACTTGGAAACGGGTGGTCGCACGGAAAAAGTACATAGAACGTTTTTTATAGAGTTTTTCCTCTTATTTAATTTTGTTCTGTATATTTTTTGCACTAAAGTTGATAGAAATCGAGTTATTGACAAATAATGAAAAATAAACCGAATTTTAGCCACTTTTTCCAATATGGCGGCCAAATCCGGGCTTTGGGGGTGGTGCAAATTTAACACGTGGTTCCTTACACTAAACTAAACAAAATAAAATTTATTCTAGCTTGTCCGGATTTGCTCCCGCCATAAGCTATTTTTTAATACTTGGCGACTGGCCTATTTGTGCTTTATAATGAATAGAAAAATCAACTTTGAACATACAAGGTCCGGCAATAGTGCGTCGGGCATCTGTAGCTCCTAGAATAAAAAACTTGGGAATTTTGATTAAGTGCAAATCTAAAGTATGTACCAGGATGTATTTCAGGAAAATATTTTAACTTATATAGGGTGGCCCAAAAAAGTATGAGTGGACCTGGATGATTTTTTTTAAATGGAACACCCTGTATATTATTGCATTTTTGGCTTCCTTTCAGATCACGTTACATAACCCTAAGATATGAATAAATATATTTAGATAGTTTCAATTTTTTCTTATTCCGAAACTTTGAATAAGAAGACTAAGGAAGGAGCATAATGCTATCCATGTATTCATGCATGGTGGGCGGAAAAAGCACTCTAGGGTGTGGGTCCTTGACAGTTCTGTTTGACGATTCATTTGACACATTTGAATTTGATTTGAAATTTTGTGGATTTGTCTGTCTTTACGGAGCTTATTTTATGTTATTTATTATTTATTCTACTACTGATAGTTGTATAAAGGTAGTAAATCTGGATGGAAATTGTGGCAGAACTTAAATTAACAGTGACACTATCGCGATTTATCGAAAAAGACTCTAAAATAGATGGTTATGTAGCGTGCGGTAGATCTCGGCAAAAATTGAGTGAAATAATGGAACAACTTTTCGCTAGTAAGTGACTATAAAATATACATACGTATAGTAAACCGATCATTTATGAAATTCGCTTAAATTAACTAAATTATATATTTTTCTTGCATTTTAGCTTTTATTTATTACTTGTCAAAGATTAGATGTCAAAGAATTTAGATACGTTAATTTGACTTACCTGCTTCAGTAGCGTATCGGATGTTTGTGTTAATAAATACTTATTATAACTTATCTATTTTTATTAGAATTATATATTTTTATAACAATTTTAATAACTACCAACATTTATTCACAACGTAAAATAAAACAACAAATTATTGAGTCTACCCCACGTCTACCCTACATCGTAGTTTTACATTTTTTAAATAAAATTAGAACGACACTGATAAACCGGAATTTAAGTCGGCCATATTTGAGGCCCATCGCGGTGTACCTAAGATTTTTGATATGCTCCTTCCTTAGTCTTCTTATTCAAAGTTCCGAAATAACTTGTTTGAAATGTTAAAAATTAATAAATAATTTGATTCGATTTCACAAAATTTGTATTAAAATGACCGTCTGTCCGTCTGAGGACTCCATTCGGGTACCTCTATCCACATGCCGAGTTTGGTTCCAATCGACCGATAATTAAGACCCGATTAGAATCCTGATGATTTCGTCTATTTAGAGACATCGGTTCGAAACGTCGAGGGCGTCATCCTGTAGCCCGTCACCAATTATGCTGAAATCGACCCACATTTTTCTTCAATATCAAATCCTTAGTCCCATCCTGATGAAGATGTAAACGAAACATTGTATCCACAACGTCGTTCACATAGCCTACCCAACAAGTTTGATTGCGATAGGACGACATCAACTTTTACGTCAAAACTAACTGTCATAGTGACACGTGTCGAGGTCCAATCTATCGACAAACCATACTTTATTTAAATCGGATCATTGCACGAAATGTCTTCAAAATATCATGAATAGATGAAGCTTTTCGGGTCCCATCTACATTCCGAGTTTCAGTCCCCTAACTCACATAGGGCCCGAGTTACGACGCTCCAAAGACCTATCTTAACTTTCTCATTGGCTTACTACCTTTTCGATTGTTATCACTTTTTGTTACTATTTTCGCGTGTCATCTTGTTAGCTTGTGTGTCACGGCCTTGAATTTTAACTCCCGTCGCGTGTAAAGAAGTTTCACTTCAAAAAGGCAACATCAGTAGATGATATAACTGAAGAGCAGACTTACCAAATTAATTTTGTCCATTTTTTAAGATTTTCAACTAAAGGTGGCATTGCAAACTACACAGAGTTACAAAATTATATTAGAAACGACGTTATAAATTTATTATATCCCATTTGAATTAAATGGCGAAAATACCTTAGACTTTCTATGTGCTGTATGTCCATTGGCGGTAGACACACAAGCAGAACTCTCCTTTTGTGCTGTGGACATACTGCTGTTTGTTTGTCATTGCCAGTTGAAGAGTGTGTTTTTTTGTATCTCTATTTTTTTAATAATATAACTTAAAATAATGAATGGAACTACGACTGGTGACCATGTAGTTGGGGCTTCGTGACGTGGCGTGGTAGCAGAAAAATAAAGAGAAATTCCATGTCTAAAGGACACTCAATAGATTTTTTTTATTTTTTTTCAGATATCATAAAAACTAGATTTTTCACATGTAGGTGTACTATTTTTATGATTTTTATACATTTTTTAAGTATTCAGGTTTTTACGGTAAGTTTCTTGCAAAAAGCGTGGCAGTTTTTCTTTGTTTGCCAAAATTCGCGAAAATGTACAAAATGCATCTACAAAGTCTGTTCCTCAATACATACATTTTAAACACAAACAATAGAGGACATAGCGGCTATTTTTTGATTTAACAAATGAGTTATAATATAGTAAAAATATTATAGACAACTAATTAACTATTATTACTTGCTAAAATGTTTTATTATTGTATTACCAACTATGTAGTTACTGCAATGATTTATGATTAAACTATTTTTTTATTTGGTCCATAAATTTGTTATTTTTAAAATGGCAATTTGTTTTTAATAAAAAAGTTTAGTATCTAACACGAAAATTATGATCGACTGTAAAAATCAAAATACACAAACTAATAAAAACACAAACTACAAATCACTGAACTTTCCGACAAATAAGGAACATCTGAATTAATAATTATTTAAAAAACGATTTAAAAATAACTTGACGGATCACCACCATTTTGTCAACTAGAACAAAACTAGCCCACAGACGGTAGTCAACATGCTGTCATGTCATCTTCATATATAAATTAGAAACCTGTATTTTAATGCATTTTGCGCCGTCTGGCGATGCGGAAGAAATTAAATTTGTAGGTCTATAAAATTGCTATTGGGTGTCTAGGGCCTGTCCAGCAATTATAACCTAGTAAAATGTATATTTCGTGCGTTTTTCTTCCGTGTACAATAAGTAATTTTCCGTTTGTGGAGATCGGTCGTACAATAATAGAAGGTTCTTGAAGATAATTGTACTTTTATACAGGGTGTCCCACTTAAGACGGATACAAACCAATTTCTTAGTTGTTTGTTGAGCGATCTTTTTCATTTTTAGCAGGATGCTGTCTGGCTATAAGACGTACATTTTGCCCAGGGTAAGAAATGCGATACCTCATAGACGTACGTTTTAATGGGGTTTGATATTTTTCGAGTCAAGAGTAAACTACCCTTATAGGACAGTATTTATTTGAAATCTGATAAATTATATTGAATCCTCCTTACCCAAGATACCGAAGTTCTAATTTTAATAAATATTGATACAGGGTGTGTTATTAAAATAAGACATTTTTTTTATTATTATTTTTTAAGTACTTACGCCGCCCCTGGAAAAACAACTGGTTTATTATCAATAACCTAATTATCAATTAATAATCGATTTAAGTTTTCAGATAGCTTCCATAATAATTAAGATACGATACAAAAAAACTAAATATTTTCAATTTATTTTGTTTACTTTAAAAAATTGTTTTTTAAGTTTGCTAATACAAATGAATAAAATGAGTTACAAAATAATTTAAAAACCCAGTTTTAATGGAATCTGAAATACGATTTTTATTCTTTTTATTGAGAAATATTTAAAAAAATCCAAATAGTTATTTAAAACAATCACTATTAACTTTGAAAAATATGCTCTAAACAAAGATTTATAAAACTATAACGAACTTATATCTTTATATCTGAAAACTTAAATCGATTATTAATTGATAATTGGTTATAATTGGTTATTAATAATAAACCAGTTGTTTAACCAGTGGCGTCGTAAGTACTTAAAAAAATAATAATAAAAATAAAAATGTCTTATTTTAATAACACCCTGTATCAATATTTATCAAAATTAGAACTTATGTATCTTGGGTAAGGAGGATTCAATATAATTTATCAGATTTGAAATAAATACTGTCGTAAGGGTAGTTTACTCTTGACTCGAAAAATTTCAAACCCCATTAAAACGTACGTCTATGATGTATCGCATTTCATACCCTGGGCAAAATGTACGTCTTATAGCCAGATAGCCTCCTGCCAAAAATGAAAAAGATCGCTCAACTAACAACCAAGATATTGGCTTGTATCCATCTTAAGCGGGACACCCTGTATAAAGAATCTTTTACAGTTTGCGATGTTTTTCGGTTTACTTATAATTTAGGAATATGAGATATACTAAATACAAATAAGATATTATAACATATATTTTTTTTTCTTTTCTTGGGTATGAGGTGTTTTTAATAAATTGAAAGATGGAAACATAAATCCAACATAAATGAGTGTGACACTCACAGTCACTCAGTGTCACACTCATTTATACAGACTGGTGTTAGCAAGGCGACTTCAAGAATAAAGTGCCTGAACAAGCCCACTATGTTGGAGCGAAATGTCGCTTAAAAAAATTGTTTCAATCTTTTAATTTATTAAAAAAACCTTCATACCCAAGAAAAGGAAAAAAAATATATGGATATAATCTAAAGGTTTAAGAAAAAAGAAACAATTAAATTATTATTGCATTGCGAATATTTATTTTATAGGCAAGCTTCATCTGAAGATACATTGAGATTTTTTGGAGCAGTTGATGATCCAGATCTATATGCATGGCCATCGCCGTTGAAATTGACGGCTTTGGCCATTCAAAAATTAAAGGATTTTAGACCTGCCATGACTCTTATGAGGATCATGTGTAATGATGCATTGGTATCGCATGCTAAATATTTCATCTATATTTTATATTATTTAATACTGTTTTTTTTAGATGAAAAGACATTGGAAGGAAATGTCTCTTATAGCTGGATTCGATCTCACCCCTAACGCCGGTACATCCTTAAGAAAAATGACAATGATGGGTTTAGAAGGAGATTTGGACAAATACGATATTATTAGGTACTTTAATACATGTATTTGGATGTGATGCATAATACCTTATCTTATTTTTAGTTCTGGTGCAAGCAAGGAACGAGAACTTTACCGTAATTTACAAAAAATGCAAAAAGAATGGGACGAAATATTATTTAAAACGGGCACTTTTAAAGATACGGGCATCAATATTTTAACTCAGTTGGATGATATTCAAGTACTACTTTACATTATCAGTTAAAAGTGATAATGTAATGTTTATTTTAAGGTTGTTTTGGATGATCACATTCTTAAGGCTCTAACGATGAGAGGTTCGATATTTGTTAAACCATACGAAGCTGAAGTTAGAGCATTTTATTTTAAACTGACAAGAATTAATTCAACATTAGACGAATGGGGTAAAGTACAATCACAGTGGTTGTACCTTTTACCCATTTTCTCGTCAAAAGATATCGTGGCTCAAATGCCCGAAGAAGGAATTTTATTTAAAGAGGTACAAGAACTATACGGTTCATACCAAATAAACTTTTAGTCACGTGATTAAGTTGTACAACCAACGTTGTAAACGGCACAGCGTTGCTCACTTTTATATATTTTCTTTTAATCAAAATATTTTAGTTTATATACAGAAATATACAGTAATGACACGCGGCAAATTAGAAATGTCTAAACGACAAATCGTAAATGTCGGCAACTGTGAAGAAATATTGACATAAATGCCACAATTAATTATTTTCACTCGTCCAAACTCCTTTGTTTTAATGTCGCAATATTGGGAACATTAGTGTACAACCTTCCACTAAAGGCACTCAATAAAAGATTGGCACGTTTGCCGTGTAAAGGTTGATTCTCACTATACCTTCCGTTTGGAATCTAATCAACCTTTAATGATGGAATTAATGGAAAATCCATGAATGGAAACCCATTCCATATTCGTTCCGTATTTTTGATTATATTCACGCTATACGTATAGCGTGAATATATTCAAAATATATAATCGTATCTATACCTAATCTAACCTAACGGTTCCGTATCAGTTCCATACTTTTTATTGTATACAATTAATATCATTACGAAAGTTTTATATTAAAAATTTGTTTCTTTTGAAAAACGTAATAGATTTAATTAAGAGGTGAAATAATAAATAAATATTACCAAATTGTCACAGGGCTGGTACAAATGTAAGAACTTGACAACCCTGTTTCCGATACGCTTCAGTCCTTCCGCTAAAAAATGTATGGAAGGAAAATATATGGAACGGAAGGGAAACGGAATGGATAGTGTGTATTGTTCTATTCGTTTACATGTTATAATATTTTATGTAAACGGAAGGGATACGGAAGGTATAGTGAGAATCAGCCTTATACAGCATACGATCGCTGGACGATTTTCATTTTTCCCGAATGGTTTTTCGGTACTTTTGCATCTCACGAAAGTGTGAGACACGAGCGTACTTCACTACCCGTGTCAACATAGCTTTAGTTACTTTACTTACTAACTTACTTAACTTAACTTTAATCTTAATGTTTTAAAGTAGTATCTTTCGACATTATCTCTTTGCATTACTAAACTCTATTAATTACCTATCGTGTGATTTTATTTTAAAGCCACTCCAGTTTTTAGTACCATATACCAGCCAGTATACATACACACATTGATTTTAAGAGACTTTAATAAAACTAAGGCTTATTTTTTAGGTTAATGATACGTACAAGCGATATATGGATGTAGTTATGAGAGATCCAAGAGTTTTTGTTATAGCTGGAGCTGATGGCGTTTTAGAAATAATGAAACATTGTAATGAATTACTTGAGAAGATAAACGAAGGTGTCACAGCATATTTGGAAAAGAAACGATTATATTTCCCAAGGTTCGTATTTAGAATTAAAATACTAAAAAAACACATTTTAAATAATATGATATGAGTAGATTGGCGATTGTTCTCTAGGCTTGGTTCATTTCAGCCGATTTTTAATTTTTTTTTTTAAATTTAGCAGCGCTCGTTACGGCAGAAATCAGAACTTTCCGCCTCTGTATTTACTCTTAATAGTAGATTATTTTCTTTTATCTATGGTATTTACGCAGTCCCGATTACCGTTCATATTGACATGTGCATAATTGCGTGATTGTAGGTTATTGCACTCAATATAACTCTCCCGGAACAACATTTTACACCTTAGCTTTATTACACCGATCTCATCAAAAGTAAAGATGTATTCAGGCAGTTCGACGAAACAATTGCCCATTACATGATAAAAATATTAATTCGGCAAATACTATGAGGATAAAATATAATTTAATTAATAGCAATAGTATACTTCTTTTTAATCAATTAGTGCTTATTTTTTAATGGACGTGTCTTAAAATAATAATTATGTACCTTTAAAAAATTTCGATACAGTACAGGTAGTCCTAGTTATGTCGCAACTAGCAAAACCGGATTATACTCTATGAACTCGGCAATAAAGATGTAACTATTAAGTAGACTTCAACACTAACCTCGAACTGTTGAGTGTAACTACCATGAACTTCAAATATACTATAATTACTTGTACTTAAGTGACTCTAACTTAACTATGAGACTAGACTGCAAATAATACTACTAAAAATATTTAAGCAATTTATTGAAATATCAAAAAGGTTAAATGTATAAAGAAAATGATGAAATGTATATGAAATGAAGTAAAGTTTAATTCGATAAAAATAAATGAAAAATGAAAATGGTCTAAGCTATATTAAAACTAAGACGTCATCCCCCTTAACTTAAACTAAGTATGCTCTAAGGGCGCAATACAAATAGCAAATCTAAACCCAACTAAAATCTAAACAGTCTTACTCTACTCGATGTGATATACTTGAAAACAACTCGGAAGAACTCCGGCTGAGCTACGGTGTATAGCTACAGGGTGGCTACGGCGGTGCACAACAGCTCGGTGTACTGTCACTGGAGCCCACGGATGTCAGCAGAGGTACAGGTGAAAGGTAGGTGTTGAGATTTCAAATGGTGAACATAAAAAACCCTAAATAATATTGGTTGTTTTAGAAAAGAGCCTCAATTATAGAACAAGGACTAGCACAACGTGTAGGAGTTAATGAAGGTAATAAAGAAGGACTAATTAAATCTGAACTTTACCTCAACGAGGGTTTATGATGTCCAACGGGTAACTCTACACACGGGCAACAGGAACGGATGGAATTCTGGACTGTTCTGTGCTACGGTCTGGATCGGTCTTCTTGCTCTACAATTACGAACAACCAAATAAGACTTAAGAAAGATAACACTCAACTAATCTTTCTACATCACGTGGGCGTGGAAAAGTCGAAAACCAGACAACAATATGAACAATTGACTTCGACTAGGCAGAAGAATTATAGCATACCTTGGAACTGTTCGGGGACTTCTTGGGCACGTGGAATCGGAATATCGGTCGGAAAATTTGGCTATTTAATCCCTTATAATCGGTCGGCGGTCCATAAAATCATCAAAATCCAATCACGTCTCTGACCAAAGGTGTTTCGGAAGCCTTAATCCTTCTTTACGAAGACCTGCTATTTGCCAACAGGGAATGCTTCACGAAACGGCAGCTATTTCTTCACGACGATATTCTGACGGTGGATACACAAGAAGTGATGCAAGGATTCGATTTCCTTCACAAAATCAGATTTCAACCGGAAATCTCCCTCCAGGATATTTGTATTTGACTAAGAGTGGGTCCCATAGGGGACCCTCCACTGAGGCCGCGAGGGCCTATTGTGGCTCAGTTTCTACAAGCTCTAATTTACAAGAGCGTCAAAGTTCATCCTCAAGACCCAGCCTCTTAATATAGGCCGTTATGTCTGAGGGCGATATGTCTCCTAGGTCTGATAGGTCTAGCATGGGTTTGCCAAACATCTCAAACCTGGTCCTGCTCCCAGCGGGGCAGGTACACATAACGTGCTTCATTGTTTCATCATCTTCCATACAGAGTCGGCATTCGGCGTCTTCCACCAGTCCCGTCCTCTGTAGGTGAGATCTCAGCCGGCAGTGGCCCGTGTACACTGCAGTGAGCACACGCGTTCCATTCCTACCGGCCTTTAGGAGTTCTCCTGTTCTATATTTGGATGGCCCTGCTAGGATTTTCTTGGCATGCTCCATTCCGGGACTGTCATTCCAGTCTCGGAATGTCTCAAACCCATTCACAGAGCCTGTCTCTTGCGAGATTTTTGGGAACGCTAAGTGTCGGTTCTGGGCCCACGAATGGCGAGCCTGCACCAATTTTGGCGAGGGAATCAGCACGTTCATTTCCCTCTAGGCCGACATGTCCCGGTATCCATATTAGCGACACTTTGTTCCTATCTCCCAGTATGTTGAGTAGTTTCTTACAATGAAGAATCGTCATAGACGTGCTTTTCGTTGCCTCAAGTGCTTTCAGCGCAGCTTGACTATCCGAAAATATGCATATTGTTTTCCCGGTGTATTGTTGTTCTACCAGCAGTTGCACACAGGTTTCAATAGCATATAGCTCAGCTTGAAAGATCGTGATGTGTTTTCCAAGACTGTGGTAGATCTCAGTCTTTGGACTGCTGCAGTAAATTCCTGCGCTAGATCCTTTTTCGTTTTTGGATCCGTCCGTGTACCAACACATTTCCGCATGTAATAAGCCGTTTCCCGGCTTATCCCATTCGTCCCTATTCGGAAACAGGACGTTGTAGGTGCGCGTCAAGAGTTGGACTGGTGGTGTAAGATCCGAGATCATTCCCATAATCTCATCCGACTGTAGTTCTTCTATTAGCGGTTTTGTATGAACATAATTGTTCCTTGGCTTCCTCGTTCTATATTTAGAAACCTATATGTAGCCCATCTCGCCTCTCTTTCCAAAAGAATTTGAAGAGGAGGTAGATCGAGTAGGGTTTCCATAGCCTTTGACGGCGTGGAATGGAAGGCACCAGTCACCGCTAAGCATGCTTGTCGTTGTAGTTTCGACAATTTATTCTTTGCCGTTGTTTGGTTGGCTTTCTGCCACCAGGTAACTGCATCATACGTGATAATAGGTCTGATGGCCGTCACGTATAGCCAGTACATATTTTTGGGGTTTAATCCCCAGTTTCTACCACAAATTCGGCGGCATGCCCATAGAGCATAGCAAGCCTTTTTTGATGTTTTTTCCAGATGAGAGGTCCAGCTAAGTTTTTTGTCCAGGTTTAATCCCAGATACTTAACTTCCTCCGCAAACGGAATTGTCTCACCAAGAAGAATGGGCGGTTTCAGTTTGTCTGTTTTCCTTCTTCTGGTGAATGGTATGATCACGGTTTTCTGTGGGTTTACACTTAATTGTTCCAGTGTGCACCAGCCGTGAATTGCATCTAGGATTTCCTGTATTTTTGAGGAGATGTCCTCCTCTTTGTGTCCTTTTACTAGGATCACCAGGTCGTCCGCATATGCCTGTGCTTCAACCTCGTATGCATCGATGATTGCCATCAGGTCGTCCGCTAACAGGGTCCACAGAAGAGGAGAGAGAACTCCTCCTTGCGGGCATCCCCTGCCCGGAACAAACCTAACGGACTCACCACTGAGCGAGGTCGTTGCTACTCGATTTTTGAGCATTTGCTCAATCCATTCAGTTATGGTAGCTTCGACTCCTCGTGCTTTCACAGCGCCTAGGAGCGATTGAGGGGTGACATTGTTGAATGCTCCCTCAATATCTAGGAATATCCCTACCGCAATTTCTTTGCGATCAAAGGTACTCTTAATTTCCCCTACCAAATTGTTGAGGGCCAGTTCTGTTGATTTTCCCTGTTGATAAGCATATTGTCGGACATTCAGGGGATTAGACGTAAGAATCCTCCCCCTAATGTGTCCATCCAATATCTTCTCCAGAGTCTTCAGCAGAAATGATGTAAGGCTTATTGGTCGATATGAGCCAGGTTGTAGGTTTTGTTTCCCCACTTTCGGTATGTATACCACCTTTGCTCTCGTCCAGTCAGCTGGCAGGTGTGACCATGCCAGACTTGCCCTAAAAATTCTTAATAAGCGAGGGACGATAATGTTCTCAGCCTTCTGCAATAAGGCCGGAAACACTCCGTCCTCTCCTGGGGATTTGAATGGGTCGAAACTTTCGATCGCCCCTTTAGTCTCCCTATAGGTGATTACTTTCTTCGCTATCTCCCAATCCTCTTTTTTGGGCCGGTTTTTACGACGCATGAGTATCGGGGGGGTAGCTCTTCATCACCTAGTATCAAGCAGCCTGGGAAGTGTTTTTGGGCCAAAATCTGTAGCGTTTCTTTCCTGGACTCTGTGAAATTACCGTCGGGGCGCTGTATCGTCCCTAGCTCATTCACTGGTTCTTTTGAGAGAATCTTGTGAATTCTGGTGCTTTGAGGTAGATCGACCAGACTCCCACAGAACCTTCTCCAGGACTCTCTCTTCGCCCGTCTTATTTCCTTATTGTACTCCGCCAACGTCGCACGATAAGTTTCCCAGTTACCTGACACTTTAGCGCGGTAAAAAGCTGCAGCACTTCTTTTCTTCTTTTGTCCAGTTTGTTGTTCCACCAAGAGGACTTCCTATTATCCTTCTTTGTTTTAAGTGGACAGTTTTCACTATAAGCCGTTATAATTGCACATTGCAGTTGCTCCGCTGCAATCTCGATCTCGTCGCGATCTCTCACTTTTGCAATTGTGGGTTCCAGCAGATGCACGAGTGAGCGGTTGTATCCTCCAAATCCGTGCACTTAGGATCCCTATATTGCAGGAGAGTTCTTTCACCTACGCTTATTTCAAACTTTATGTGTCTGTGATCCGAGCACGATGGCTCAGATGATACCCTCCAATTGGATATCCTGTTGCTCAAATAATTAGAGCTGACCGTAATGTCTAAAACCTCTTTCCTGTTACAAGTAACAAAGGTTGGTTCGGAGCCTATGTTATTAACTACTAACCCTTCACCTATTAAGTAATTAAGAATTAACTCACCTCTGAAGTTGGTGTCCGTGCTTCCCCATGCCTCGTTGTCGCCGTTGGCGTCGCATCCTATCACCAGCTGTAGGTTTTTCCTCTTGCAGAAGGAGATTAGTTCTCTCACTTACTTTGGAGGAGGTAAATCCGCTGTCTTGTCTCCCGGGAAATATGCTGAGCAGGCAATGAACTCCACTCCTCCACCGCTCCTCCCCGCTCGGATCTTGATATGTACCGCCACCACATCCTGACAGCAGAACCTATAAAGGTTAAAAGAGTGCACGCTCTTTTTTACTAAAATGCATGCCCTAGGTCTGGTTACTCCAGGGGCGGTAATTAGCCTACCCTCTGCGTCCCCAAGGCCACATACGCGGCCTGAGTTAACCCAGGGTTCTTGAATGAAGGCGAGATGCACGTCCTCCTTCTTGAACCTTCTGCCAAGGACGTTAGAGGCGGCCTTGGCATGTTGCAGGTTAATTTGTATACATTTGACTGCTGCAGCCATCCCTGCAGTAGTCAAATTTAGGTTTTGCTCCCACCGTCAGGGGGTCTACGTCCCCTTTTGGTGGGAAACCTACATTCGTTCCGCCTGCCTTTCCGGGTGGGTTTGTTCCCACTCGAGTTGCCAGGCTTCCCCGAGGCTCCAGAGGGTTTAGCTTTAGACCCTTTCATGGCCGGGTTTTTCCGTGCCACTACTTTGCCTCCAGCTCTCTCCCTCTGGGTGTTGCCAGACCTCGTGGCGTCAGTCGTCACCCGAGAGGCTGTAGGATGGTCCCCACCATCTCCCGAGACTGACGCCCTGGTCTGCTCCGTATTGGTTTCATTTTCCTTATCTCTGGGTCGGAAGGTAATCTGCCCAAACCCAAAGTAGGCCCTGAATCCGTTGCGGCGAAGGAGATCCATGGATCTCTCATCAACCGCAAAGGTCCAGGTTTGTCCCGGCCCTGCATCACTCTGGTGGAGGATTCTCCACTCCTGAGTTAGCAGGCTAAGATTCATTCTTCTAAGTCTGTTCAGCACAACATCCCCTCTGAGCCGTTCTCCAGGCTCATCATCGGGAATGTAGGCCGTACAGACATGAGGCTTGGGTATATCCCGCCCCCTTACTGCCCTGAGTTCCATGCCCTGCCATGGCGAAAGGTCGTTGACCATCCTTTCTAACCACGCAGCGCTGGTCTCGTCGGCACAGATTACAAGCAGCCATCCAGGCCGAATCGAGCAGCCTTGGAAGCGTACCTGTAGTCCTTCCTCTGTGCTTGCGTCCACGGCCTTCATAATGGCACGTTTCAACAACAAGAGTTGCTCGGTGGATAGGCTGTTCTCTGGGTGGTTAGGTCGGATTACTCCAACCCTTATTTCCCCAGCGGCTTCCACGTAGCTTCTTGCGCCCTCCCTACAAGGCTTCTTAGCGCTCTGTTCAGGCGTGCTTGCATCCGAGCGGATGCGCTTGCTAGCATTAGGAGCACCAGTGTGAGGTTTATTCTCCTCCGGGTTGATTTGTCTCTTCCCGGAAGAGGTACCCCCACTTATCTGTGCCCTTTGTTTCTCCGCTTGTCGCTGCAGAATCGTCTGCAGAGCGGTCTCATAGGGCATTCCGCCCTTGAGAAGTCTTGAGAGGAGCTTTCTTGTCGCCCCTGCAAACCTTTTCTTTTCCAGGGATAATTTCTCCAATTGCTTGGAGACCCCGAAAGGAGGTTCACCTTCTGCCTTCTCAGGCGAGGGGGATCTGGGCCCCTCTGTTTCCTGATCCGGCTGAGGTGAGTTGTTTGGGGTAGGAATAGTCCCACGCTCCTTAGTTTCCTCCTCCTTAGGAGAAGGATCGGGACGGTTTGATCCATCCTCGTCATTGGGTTTTTTGCTTTCTTGGTCCATATAATGATCCCACGAGTAGCAGGGGAAAGAAACGACCATCACGGCAGAGCCCCGCAATACCGTGACTAGGCATTTATGAGCTGGGAGGTCGCCCGGTATCCCAGGTTAGTCGCTAGTGGTCGGGTTTCCCCCCGACCATCCATCCCTTGGCGCGCACTATACCGTAGGATTTGGGGAGGTTTTTATAGTGGTACCTCATCCACGCGGCTCAGACAGTAAAGCCAAAGCCCCCATGTCTCTCCTAAGAGAGACTTACGGTATGACGGACGTTAAGTCCCGAAGGAGGTCCCGTCCGGCATCGTTTTTATGTCTTGATGCAGTTCCCTGGCCACGACACTACAGCCAGGGACAAGACATTGAGATGCTCCTTAGACCTAGCCAGAGCGCAAGAGGGGTCCCCTCCGGTGCCCTGGCCGGGAGCTTCCCCACCAACGTCAAGGTCTCGCATCTCGTAGGGGAAGCGATTACGAACAACCAAATAAGACTTAAGAAAGATAACACTCAACTAATCTTTCTACATCACGTGGGCGTGGAAAAGTCGAAAACCAGACAACAATATGAACAATTGACTTCGACTAGGCAGAAGAATTATAGCATACCTTGGAACTGTTCGGGGACTTCTTGGGCACGTGGAATCGGAATATCGGTCGGAAAATTTGGCTATTTAATCCCTTATAATCGGTCGGCGGCCCATAAAATCATCAAAATCCAATCACGTCTCTGACCAAAGGTGTTTCGGAAGCCTTAATCCTTCTTTACGAAGACCTGCTATTTGCCAACAGGGAATGCTTCACGAAACGGCAGCCATTTCTTCACGACGATATTCTGACGGTGGATACACAAGAAGTGATGCAAGGATTCGATTTCCTTCACAAAATCAGATTTCAACCGGAAATCTCCCTCCAGGATATAGATAGAGAACTATATATCTTGACTAGTCCAACTCACAAAAAGGCATAAACAAAAAATTATGTACTAGAATATTTTTCGACAGCCATATTTCATATCCGGTCAATGAACGAACTAAACTCAGAAATCCCACAATTAAATGAAGGAATTGCACACTGCGATCCACATCAAAAATAACCAATTTAACTACGAAATTTTATCTGATAATTATAAAATTTCAATAACCAAAACAAAGGATAAATAAATCCAAAAACATCTGATTTGATCTGACAGTGACAAGTGACAAGTGATGACCAAAGATAAAAAGAGGTCGACAAAAATTCTAATGCTGGGCGGCATCCAGTGACAATATTCTGTGGCTATATAATATCGCGGTGTATAACGGGTTGCATAATCGTAAAATTTAAATAAAATATTTAACCATAACGGAGAGCTAGCACACAGTGGTCGTTGCGAGGAAATTTGACTGTTACAGTAATTATTAAAATTCATATATACAGTATGTCCCCGGATTGTCTTTACAAGAGGAAAAACTTTTTTATTATTGACATTTATAGGAAAATTCTTTCTTCATAAAAATTTTTGCTTGTTCTAAAATGGTTAATTCCGTTTATTCCAAATCTCTATATCGTTCCACAGAAAATTAAGAAAAACATGAAAATATGGTTGAATTTTGAGGTCCTATAAATCAAAAAGCGCTTAATAAGGCGCTATGGTAATATTATTTCGATTTCATTCTTTAATACATAGCAGAGACATACATGGTTCTTATTAATTTTGGTTAACGTCATATTTATTTGCTGATGTTAAACTATCACATTTTCCGAAACTATTATCACCCTTTCCATAGCATTGAACTAAATAAATTTTGTGCTTCTTAACATTTTAAACACCTAAAAATATGACCTTAATTAAAATTTTATCAATAAAAATATAAGGACCTTGAAAAACTTTTTCTCTGGAATGATATGGAAATTTGAAAAAGTATAAATCAGATTAACCATTTTAAAACAAGCCAAAATTTTTATGAATGCATTTTTCTCAAAATGTTAATAATAAAAAAGGTTTTCCTCTTGTAAAGACAATCAGGGGACATACGGTACATACTGAGACTATGGTCAACAAAAAATAAAAAAAAATTATTAACTCTGTATTGTATCTGTCGGTATTATACCAACCTCTCCTAGCTCTAATTACTCGTCTTCATTGACCAACGTTGTGTGTGAAATCCATAATACAATCTTAATAGATTCCGCTTAATAGAATTAATAGACAATCTTAATAGATTCCACTGAAAGCAACCTAATGATATCTAATGTTAGTTGAATCCATATGTGTTGTGTTGGAAAAACAACTTGTCTTAAATTGAACTTGAACTTTTTAGGTTCTTTTTCTTGTCCAACGACGAAATGCTAGAAATTCTTTCCGAAACCAAAGATCCTCTCAGAGTTCAACCTCATTTGAAAAAATGTTTCGAGGCGATAAACAAATTAGATTTTACGGATAAACTAGAAATTCTAGCAATGTTCAGTCAAGAGAATGAGAAAGTTAACTTTAAGAGTCAGGTAAATACGAAGGAAGCTGGTGGTAGCGTTGAAAAATGGTTAGTTCAGGTAGAGGAACAAATGGTAATATCAGTTAGGGATCAGATATTAAAAAGCTGCAGAAATTACTTCTTGATTCCCAGAACGCAATGGGTAAGTCAATATAACTGATAAAAAATATCTATACCTATGTGGCGGATTCATCTCTCCAAAAAAATCCTTTATGGGTATTTCGCCACTGCACTGCAAGAAAAATCTACAAAATAAACTAGTCATTTTTTCTAAATACTTCTGCGTTAAACCTAAACGGACACTGCTTATCATAAGTTATGTTTACAGTAATACAAATTTGCCTAACAAAGAAGAAAATGCTTAACGTTTCAGAAAGTTTATCTCTTTCCGTCGTCGGAAGCAAAAAAAATACAAGAATAAAGAAAAAACTATTTAAAATATTTAAATTCAACTATTCGAGAACCACGTACTTTGCTTTTTTTAAAACAGATACATCTACAAGAAACCGTTGACGTTCTGTTAAAACAGCAGTTTTGTTCTTGCAGTGCAGTGGCGAAATACCCATAAAGGATTTTTTTGGAAATATAACTGATACTGGAAACAAACATTTTTACCAATTCTTTTAGAGTAGGATTTCCAATTATTATTTATATTTTTATTTACAACTTATAAGTTATATGTACTTATACAGATCTGAGGCACGAAATAAGTCCGCTCAGCTAAGCAGATTCGAGTAAAGCTTGATTTTCATGCATCCGGCGATACGATGATACGATATTAATTTTATCGGTTCAACTTAAAGACTTCGATTGATTAGAAAATTACGCAGTTTTTAAATTTACTGCACTTTCATACATCCCTTTATCGGATATACGATTACCTTGTGATTGGTGTCATTTTATATTTTCGTTTCCATAACGATTTTGCTGTTTTACTTATAGTCTAAGGGTACGAACATAGTGGAGGCAGGTTTCTGCTTCCCGGCAGCCAGCGCTATCTCTGTGTACCTATTCTTGATCACTCGCATCTTCAAATATCGCTCACATCTCGCATCTCCGAAAAAGCCATATAACAATACACGTGATGCGTAACTTTGCGTACAACTTAACAAGTATAGCTAGAGACGTGAGAAATATAAAATAAGAGACGCCCCTCGATGCGCAGTGGACATCCCACAAATTTGCTTCAATCAGATTTTTCGTAGCGTAACTGCATCTCTCTTCCGCCGAATCAGGGTTGCCACAAGCTACACAATTGTGTATTTTGCTACACATTTGCTTCCATGTCTGCACAGCTACACCACAATGGCCTGTGCTACACATTTTGACAATTTACATATTTATTATAAAAAATAATACCAAAATAGTAAATCATCTGACAAAAGCTGTTTTTTTTGCTTTTAAGTTATCTAAGTTATTTAAGTTATATTTGAAGTTACATTAAAAGAGGCCGCAAGTGAACTTTAAATTTTGAACTGACAAATATCATTTTCGGTCATTTATTGGTCGAGTCAAAAACGGTAAATAGACAGGATTGCTTAATTCCTTAAATAATACATAACACGTACTTTGGCCAAATTCAGAGGCCAAATTTCACTGTAGTTCGGTCCACTCGTTGGCATACGTGAATAATATTCAATTCCTATTTCACTTTTCCTCCCATATCAGCAAGGACTGCAGTTTCTATGGACAAATTTGGCCGATTAAACAGTCCTGAATTGTTTACAGTTTTTAAATAGACTTTAACCGGTCTAATTTTTCCATAAAATCGTTAGTTTCGCGACATCAATTTTGACGTCATTGCAATATTTGCTGGCATGAGAAGAAGTGAAATGGGAAATGAATATATTGACGTGTACAAACGAGTGGAAGTGAGACTCTTATCGAGACTCGTAATTATGCTTTAAAATTTGGCGATTTTACGTCTTACTCTTGGTTTTATTGGATAGTTTACAATTATTGGACACGGTCATGGATTGCTACACAATGCTACACATTTTTGTGGTCAAGTTCTGCACAATCAAAAATTTTCTTGTGGCAACCCTGCGCCGAATGCGTTCTCTCTCTATCGTGTGCGCGACCGGTGCTATCCCCAAGTCTCTTCCTATATTTGTCAAACTGTATATGCATCACGTGTATTGTTATATGGCTTTTTCGGAGATGCGAGCAGGGTTCGGAAGTAGTTAATTAAGAGGAAATTTACCTGATTAACTAACCTAACCATATTCAGTTACTGATTTACCTAGACCAAGATTACTGTTAACCCTAAAAAATTATCTATTAGACAAGGCATTTTATACCCTAGATGAATTCTATGCAGACAAGGGTAAGCTGTTAATATAGCATTTAATATTATTTGTAGTAAGTATTATTGTGTTTTCAATTTATTTTCTTGTTAAAATTATATAAATATTGAAACTTGTAAATTATAGTTATGTAATACAGTATAAAGACTCTTCAGAAAAGTATTTTAGGAATCATGTTTATATTACGATACATTTAGTATTTGAGTATTTTAGTATCTTGAGTTTTTTGTTAACATGTTCCACACCCATCTTGGGTCAATTTATGTAATTGTATTACTTGGAACTAATAAAGATTTATCTATCTATCTATCTATTCAAACGCCGCGCCCGCACATAGGGGTATTTGGTCTATAAATCTGGCCAAAAGTGATATTTTTTTATTTTCATTTTTTATCTTAACTGAATACAAATCTATAAATACTAAATGTAAGCACGTTTATATTAGCTTTTTTAAGTCGTAAGTTGACTATCAAATAAATAATATATTTCAATTACAAGTATGAATTATCTTGAGTGTATTCTGAATATTTCTAAGATTATAAAATCGTGGAATTGTTTGTAGTGATTTTTGTGCAAATTGTTTATAATAACTGTCATGATGGATACAGAGCCAGCTGGCAAGTCCTGTTTTATGCCATATTTTTATTTTGAAACGTTTCCTTCTATTCTATTCCTTTATAATGTTTTATATTTAACAAATCAGAGGCATTTTTATAAGGTGTAAGACTATTCGGCAATATTCCGCATGGAAATTAGTATCCGTTCAGTGCTTAAAGTCTCCAGCTTTGGAATATGTACAAAAATCTTGCCAATATTTGCCACTGTCAAAAAAAAACATTGATTTAAATAGATTCTTAAACGAAATAGTCTTTACCCTATAACACCCATCCTCGCTCAAATATCGTCTATAATATACAAATTACTTTCTTGTTCTAGCATTCTCATCCAATTGCTTGGTTTTGCACAGAATGGCCCTATTTGATCGGTGGCAAAAGTTTCAGAGTAGAGGAAAAATTATTATGTAGGAAAAACAAAATGGGGTTCCATATTAGCACCCTCTCCTCTAATAATTAATATTACTAGCAAAAAAGCACAAAAATCATAAAACATAATTTTGGCCAACTTTTAGTTCTCAATACCCCTCTGTGCGCCATCGGCGCGTGCAAAAGCAGAAATAAATAAATTTTCGTTCCGGTAAAAGCGAGAACGCCGATGAACGCTGGTTGACGGCGCCTACCTGCTTTCACTGTGAACGATTTGATAACACGCTTTAATTTTTCAAGGTTATAAGCGCGAGGCGGTGCGGCGCGGCGCTACTATGTAAATATATACAGGGTGTCCCAGAAATACGTGCAAGTATTTTAACATAACTGTATCGTTAACATAACTGTAGTATAGTTCAACCCCAGAAACACGCCTATGAGGTTTTTTTCTAAATATTTTTTTTTTGAAAATTCGGAATTTTTTGAAAATATTTTTGGAATTTTTTTGCATTTTTTTTTAATTTTTATTTAAAAAAAAAATAATTTCTTGATAATATGGCAACATAGGTAGTAGATTAAATTTACAAAAAAGAAAATCCAGAAAAGATCCAGTGGTTCTCAAACAAATCTCGAAGTATTGGAAAGAATGTGTAAGGACCAAGAACTATTGACTACAATAAAACGACGGAAAGCAGCATATTTTGGTCATATTTTTCGAAATAACAAATATAGTTTCCTACAGCTGATCGTTGAGGGAAAGATTGAAGGACGACGAGGCATCGGGCGTAATCGGTTTTCCTGGTTGTGGAATTTGTGCCAGTGGTTTAATATAGGAGAGGCCAGTGCAATTATCCGTTTAGCTCAAGACAGGGAGGAATTCCAATTGATGGTCGCCAACTTCCGATGAGGAGAAGGTTCTTAAAATTTTAGCAAAAAATCATTTTTTTTTGGAAATTTTCAAAGTAAAATAACTCCATTATTTTGGACTGATTTGAAAAACGATATAGAGAAAATATGTTTCTTTTATCGAGATCTACCACCCTTTAAAATACTTGCACTTATTTCTGGGATACCCTGTTTATAACAATACACGTGATGCGTATACGCAAAGTTGCGAACGATGTATACACACCCTGTATATTTTGCTATGCTCTCCTGAACAGGGTGTGGGCCGTCTGACTGCCGGTAGATATTGCGTTCACTACTGTGCATCACATCTGTATTCAACATCTGTTTACTGCTGCGCATCAAAAATTCGCCCTGTATTTCGGAACTAAGGAGGCTAGGACAAACATATGTGTAGCATATTTAGTTTCATAAAAAAGTAGCAAAGTAATGTGAAAATCGCATCATTATATAAACGAGAAATTCCATAAATCACACTAAAATTTATCCATGAGGATACCGTGTACAGATGTGATGTGCAGTAGTGAACCGCAAAAGTCTACAGGCAGCTAGACGGCCCACACTTTGATTAAGAGAGCACAGGAGAGCATAGCAAAAGATATATTAAAGAACCAGCACCGGCATTCTTAAAATACAAAAACAAGCCTTAAATAGGTTAAAGCCAGGGTTGGATGGACGCACCGAGAAGATCTCGGTAGACTGGTTATATCCGTTGGCCAAATACACTGCTTGTGCCATAATACCGATTTATTGGTTTTGAAATTAATTTTATTGCGCTGTTAATAGTTAAGAACTTCTAAAACAGTTGTTTAGCATATAAAACATGTTTGATTTATTGAAATGAAATTTCTTTACGCGTGATGGAATTTTTTTATTATATACACACGATATAATATTATATACACACGATATACATATTATATTTACACGACAAGGCCCTGACAGACGAGCTAACGGAAAGAAGAAGTGGTAAGTGAGGAAGTTGAGATGGGGTCTTGGAGCGTCGTAACTCGGGCTCTATGTGTAGATGGGGCTCAAAGAGCCTTATTTTGATCTGATGTATAGCTCACAGCATTTTGATCTGATGTATAATTTTTTTATATACATTTTTTACTGTTTTCAAGTTTATACTTGAAAACATAGTCTACCACACTCAAGGAAACATTAGCATACTAATATAATGTTATTTCGTTTCCAGGTTCAAAAGTGGCCTGGTCAGGTTGTACTTTGTGTATCTCAAATGCATTGGACCTCAAACGTTCACAAAGCATTAAACAACGAAGATAATCTTACAGTTTCCATACTTTTTGAAAGCTTAAGACAATCCTTGAACGACATCGTCGCTCTAATACGCGATCCCACTCTCACTAACTTATCAAGAATCACAATAAAGGTAAACGAATATTTAATTAAAAACGTATACCTATTTTATTTTTTAGGCTTTGATTGTAATAGACGTACATGCTAAAGACGTTGTGGAAGAACTCTTAAAAAAGAATGTGAACAATGATAAAGAATTTAAGTGGTTGTCACAGATGAGATATTATTTAGAAGAGGATGAGGCATATGTACGCCTTATTAATGCTACGGTCAGATATGCTTATGAATATTTAGGTAGCTAATATTGTTATTTATTAAATCACTTATGGTGCAGTTGCTTGATGGCTTACTAAAAAAAGCTACTAAAGCAAGCTTACTAGACGACGACAAGAAACATATTATCAAGACTTTAACGATAAACATAACGTTCAGAGATGTCTGTTGCAATCCGCAACCTCAAAAACCTTGATTGTTTTTCAACGAAGATGAACAATTCAAAATATAGCTTTAACAAAAGCATTTTAATCAAAACATTTTTTTATGCTTTTTGTGAAGCTTATTGTCGAATATAATTTGTGATACTAAATAACTAGATTATTAGAGCATACTAGATTTTATCCATGGAACATATACATCACGCAAGTCTTCTGCATATCCTGAGAGCCTTTGCAGCTTTGTTGGTAATGTTCTTAATATGCCTGTGCCATAGAAGTTTACTGTCCAGGGTTGATAGATATTTGACTTCTTCAGGATCCAGGTCCAGGATTGTCCAGATATTTGACTTCTTATAATAGCAGAATTTCGTTTTCATCTAGATGGATACTTTTCAAGTTTTCGCTTTGTGATAAATGGCACTACCGTGATTTGTCTGATTTGACGCTCAGCCCATCTCTCTGTGATACTACATAACTGTTCATGTTTCCCCCGAGCGATCATTATTATGTCATCTGCATACCCTATGCAGTGTATTCCTGCTAGAATTACTTCGTCTAGTAATTCTTCTACTACCAAGCTCCATAGTAGGGGGGAGGTTACTCCACCTTGTGGAGTTTCTTGGTTTGGTCTAACAGCTACAGTATTGGTACCCATATGAGCCCTCTGCTGTCCGTGCTGAGAGGATTTCCTAAAACCAACAAATCTAAACAAAACCAAGAATTAACCTACATTATTTTCTTGGAAAATACAAGATTTTCAACCAGATATTTGCTATCCAATCCCGTTAGGCGATGCAGTTATTGCTTCATTTTACCGAAAATATAGTAATATACTTTTGGATAGCCAAGCCAAATCTTTTTGGCTTGGCTATCAACAACCAATATATAACAACCCATCACTACTGTGAACGAGTAATGGAAAAGGCTTATGAAAAATGATGTGTCAGTTGGCTGCAGTATATTGCAGGCAACTAACTCTGTTGTAGATTGAAATCATATAAAAAGTTTTTTAAAATTTCATTCTGTGTAATAATATTTACGAGTACAACACATGTTAATTAAAAATTTGTAAATTTTAGTCATAATTTGTGCAAATTTGAAATACCTTTATTAAGATCGCGTTTACTTTGTCGTAGGAAATTCAGATAGACTGGTTATTACACCTCTTACTGATAGATGCTATCGGACACTTATAGGAGCTTATCATCTGCATTTAAACGGCGCTCCCGAAGGTCCAGCCGGTACCGGAAAGACGGAAACAACTAAAGATTTAGCAAAGGCGATAGCCGTCCAATGTGTTGTTTTTAACTGTTCAGATGGCTTGGATTACAAAGCTATGGGCAAATTCTTCAAAGGTATTCTTTGTTTTGTATTTATTGTATTATATTATTGGGGAAAATGTATCTATTATTCCCATATTAGTTATTTTGACCGATAGAATATGTTTGTGGATAACTAAAGTTGTCACTGACAGAAATTCGAGATCCAAAGATTCCTCAAAAATTGATTCATTCTACTTTTTTAAAAACTTCAAGGTTGTGTGTTTCGAGGACGAAACAATTATTAATATAGATTCCTTTTTATATCAGCCACTCTGTGCATTTATTTGAATATTAGCATATTTGTGATGTCAGGACCGTGGTCAAATGAGTCATTACCGTGGGAAAGAAAATTGAAATGTCATTCTCGGTCTTGACATTTTATAGTTATGCTAACATCAACAGTTTTGTTATACAATTAAAAAAATGTGAAAAATGTGACAGAACAGTTCGAACATATTACATTTATGAGATACTTATTTGATATTAACAGCAAAATAAAAACACTAAATCACCACAATACACCAAAACACTTTTACTTTTACACTGGACGCGCGTTTCGCTAACCATGTTAGCATCATCAGCAGATGATTATAAACTAAAGTACAATCTAAAAGTTGAGCGTTTATATACTCGCTCAGTGGGCCCCGAGTGGGCGTGGCAAAATCTAGCCAACCGAGTCAGAGCCAACTGAGCGTAACAGTTAGATTTCCGCCACTAGAGTAGTAGGAACAAAGAACTTGAAGGAATTGGACCGTTGACTCTGTTCATACTATCTTTACATTTATTAATTCTGATGCTTTCATATGCATCTAATTGTCTGTAATTTGAGACTTGTTTAATTAATTTTAAATTATTAAGATCTATTCAATGTTCATTATCAACAATATGTTCGGCAACGCAAGATTTATCCGGTCTACCATATCTTATCTGAGCTAAATGTTCTTTAAATCTAGTTAATATTGATCTTCTAGTTTGCCCAACATATTTCTGATTACAATCTTTACAAGAAATTTCATAAATACCCGACCTTTCCAGTGGAGGTGTTTTATCTTTGGATTACCTAATAATTGTTGTAATTTATTATTAGCACTATACACAAGTTTATAATTGACATTCTTAAAAATTCCTTTTAGACCACGGGATAACTCTCTATCAAACGGTATCGAAAATATTTAGACGTATCTTTCTCCACTTGAAAAGTCGAATTTTCAGAAATCATTAACCTATACCTACGTTTTCTAATTAATTTATCAACTAGTGAAGGAGAATATCCATTACACTCAGCTACATTCACTAATAACTACTAATGTAATCTCTTTCTATTTCATATCTTTCGTTGGAAAGTGGGAAACTAAGTAATCTATGAACTAAGAAATTTAAACTAGCCATTTTATGTTCGTATGAATACTATGATGTGATTCATTAGGAATATATCTGCGTGTGGTCGTATTTTTCCTATAGATATCAAATTCCAGGCAATTATTAGTATTTCTAATAACTAATACATCTAGAAATGGTAATCTGTCGTTGTTCTCAATTTCATGCGTAAATTTAATGGAAGAAAAACGATTATTTAACTTAGAAATAAAATTATCTATGGTGTCTGAATGTGTATCAAAAACAGCAAAAATATGTTCATCCTCTTTAAAGAAAGATCTTTCTTTAAAGAGGAAATTGCAAATATCCAATCCCTCATTACCAAAATTGTATGCTTTGCCAAAATTCATAAGCCGGACAAGTCTATGCACCCAATTGTTTCGGCTGTAGGTTCTCCGACTTATAATTTGGCAAAATGGTTATCAAGGGAGTTCGAAAATTTACCTGATCATGAACCTTCTTTCTCAGTTAAAAATAATATTGAATTCATTAACAAAATTAAAGATATAACATTGCATGAAGGTGAAATTTTGGTCTCCTTTGATGTATCTTTATTGTTCCCAAGTGTTCCAATTCCACATACTTTAGGCTACTTAAAGGAATTACTGAACGCAAATGGTCTCGACAACAAAACTGTGAGTGAATATATTGAGCTTACATCGTTATGTATGAAACAAAATTGTTTTCAATTTAATAACAACTTTTTTGAACAGCGGGAAGGTACAGCAATGGGTAATCCATTATCTCCATTTTTGGCTAATTTATTCATGAGTAGGTTTGAAGTAGAGGCTAAGAATCAGTTTGAGTATTTTCCAAGAGTATGGTTTAGGTATGTGGATGCTATTTTTGCTGTTTTTGATACACATTCAGACACCATAGATAATTTTATTTCTAAGTTAAATAATCGTTTTCCTTCCATTAAATTTACGCATGAAATTGAGAACAACGACAGATTACCATTTCTAGATGTATTAGTTATTAGAAATACTAATAATTGTCTGGAATTTGATATCTATAGGAAAAATACGACCACACGCAGATATATTCCTAATGAATCACATCATAGTGTTGAACACAAAATGGCTAGTTTAAATTTCTTAGTTCATAGATTACTTAGTTTCCCACTTTCCAACGAAAGATATGAACTAGAAAGAGATTACATTAGGAATGTAGCTGAGTGTAATGGATATTCTCCTTCACTAGTTGATAAATTAATTAGAAAACGTAGGTATAGGTTAATGATTTCTGAAAATTCGACTTTTCAAGTGGAGAAAGATACGTCTAAATATTTTTCGATACCGTTTGATAGAGAGTTAAACACCTCCACTGGAAAGGTCGGGTATTTATGAAATTTCTTGTAAAGATTGTAATCAGAAATATGTTGGGCAAACTAGAAGATCAATATTAACTAGATTTAAAGAACATTTAGCTCAGATAAGATATGGTAGACCGGATAAATCTTGCGTTGCCGAACATATTGTTGATAATGAACATTGTATAGATCTTAATAATTTAAAATTAATTAAACAAGTCTCAAATTACAGACAATTAGATGCATATGAAAGCATCAGAATTAATAAATGTAAAGATAGTATGAACAGAGTCAACGGTCCAATTCCTTCAAGTTCTTTGTTCCTACTACTCTAGTGGCGGAAATCTGAACTGTTACGCTCAGTTGGCTCTGACTCGGTTGGCTAGATTTTGCCACGCCCACTCGGGGCCCACTGAGCGAGTATATAAACGCTCAACTTGTAGATTGTACTTTAGTTTATAATCATCTGCTGATGATGCTAACATGGTTAGCGAAACGCGCGTCCAGTGTAAAAGTAAAAGTGTTTTGGTGTATTGTGGTGATTTAGTGTTTTTATTTTGCTGTGTAACACCATAGGTTCCTACCCTCAACTGTAATGATATTAACAAATTTCAGGTCTTGCATCTTGTGGAGCCTGGGCGTGTTTTGATGAATTTAATCGTATTGATATCGAAGTGTTATCGGTAGTGGCTCAACAAATATTGTCAATAATATTGGCGGTACGGGCCCACGTTCCCAAATTTAACTTTGAAGGAACTGAAATAAGTTTGAACCCAAGCTGCTATGTGTGTATTACCATGAATCCTGGATATGCAGGTAGAACAGAATTGCCAGATAACTTAAAGGTAAAATATAATTTTATTCAAATACAAAATACGCTTCTTAATAATTATTGGCAACATCAATATTTACATAAACACATAAAAATGAAAATAGTAGTCATGTTTGTGTAAATATTTAGCAACAGTTAATAATAGGTAACTAAAAACTATAGACTTAAATATCTACTAAAATAAGACACATTTAATTATTGACTAATTAATTTTTTTTAAATATTTGCATTGCATTGCAACTTTTCAACTTGATCACTTTTATAATTAACTTTTGGTGTTACAATAGCAAAATAAAACGATAATTCACCACAATACACAAAACAGCATCATCAGTAGATGATTAAAACTGACAACATGACAAATATTCAAACTTTATAAATATCAGTTCACTCTTCACTCGTGAATTAGTTGGGTGCAGTCACGCATGAGGTTTTGCAAGAATACCTGCATTGGAGCGTCTTATGAGTGTTGCTATATTGTTGAAATTTCCATACTTGGATTGCTAAAGATTTTATTATTGTTAGATATGAATAGGCCTCTTTTAGTACGAGAGGAAAAACAAGTATGTATTTTAAGACGTCTGGCTCTTTGATATATCTTTTACTATGCTCTCTAGAACAGCATGCGGCCCGTCTGGCTGCCGGTAAACGTTGCGTTCCCTACTGCGCCTTGAAAGAAGATCCTATATTTTTATTAGTCTTTTAAATTCTAGTATTGAATATAAATCGTACATGTCTCCATAGCGCAGTGCCTAGAGTTTCCGACCACGAACCGAGGATTCAGAGTTCGAATCCGGGTCAGGGAAAACATTTTTTTATTTTATTTTCGATTATATTCTGATAGTAAAGTATTAAATTTTTTTTTGAATCACCAGAATTATTTAATACTTTACTATCAGAATATAAACGAAAATAAAATAAAAAAGTCCTTGCCCTGACCCGGATTCGAACTCGCTATGGAGACATGTTCGATTTATATTCAATACTAGAATTTATAGGACTAAATTAAAAAAAAATATAGGATCTTCTTCCGATGCGCAGTAGTGAACGCAACGGGTATCGGCAGCCAGACGGGCCGCATGCTGTTCCAGAGAGCATAGATATATATCAAAGAGCCAGACGTCTTAAAATACTTTCTCGAAAACGTTGCTAGCTCTTAGACTATTTCATTTGCACTTTTTCCAATGGGGTGCTTTCACTTAAATTCTCAGTCGAACCATTCTGAAGCAACTAAAACAGGTACAGTTAAAAGATTATGTCATGGAGCAAATCACTATATGCAGTGACCAAGATTCTCTGAATTCTGAACTAAGTTATATTAAAACCGATTTGCTTCAGAATGGTTACTCTGCAAAATCCCTTGACAATAATATATTCAATTGCAAATCTGACTCACTGGTGCGTCAGCCTGAGGAGGTGAGGAGTCTCTCTCCTGAGAGGGCTCTCTTAAACTCTTAACGATTCTATATGCGAAAGGAACATCGGAGAAGATCAGTTGAATAGTGAATAGCAGTATGAAATTAAAACTGTTTTTAAGTCTGAGATTACTCTAGCAAGTATCCTAACAAAAAACAAAATCGGATACCTTGCGAATGCGGTGAGCAGTAAATTGGAGAGACAAAACGTCCTCTACATGTACAACTTGACGAACATAAAAAGCATACGCAGAGGGGAAACAATGAATTCGGGCATTGCAGATCATGTGTGGTCCAAGTACCAGAACATAAAATGGTCGGAAGCCCGAGTTGTCCACAAAGAATCCCATTGGAAAAAGCGCAAATTTAAAGAGGCAGTATTTATTTCTAACAAGAATAAAATCTTCAGCAATTCAAGTATGGAAATTTCAACAATATGACAATCATATTGTATAAATACTCTTAAAATGCTCCAAAACAGGTACTCTTAGTGGAGAACCTCATACTTGACTGCACCCAACTAATTCACGGGCGAATGCTCGGCTCTAGTATCAACTCAGTAGTTTTTAGGATTTAGTTTAGTTCACACTTGAACGAAGTTCACACTTGAACGAAGTTCACACTTGAAGTCAGAAATTCTTTTAGTTTTTATAGTTGGAACCTTTGATTTTATAACGTCAAAATAAACCATTAATTCATCACAATGCACCAAAACACTTTACTATTAAAAAAATTTGTTTTGAACCGTCCCGCAACACTCTCGCGACGGAGCTACATACATACATACAGCCGCTACTCGCTGACGAGTATTCGACACACATAAAGAAGATGGTCACGCAAGGCGTTTTCCCTCATGAGCTTTTCTGTGACTGAAAAGCCCGATACGTGATGTTATCTGGCTACCGCACTCCGAACATTCAAAAATCTCATTGCTTTGTTGCCTCTTTACTTTTTGGTTGTCGCTGTTAACTGAGTTTACAACTCTTCTCCAATGAGTTCTACTGTGAGCTGCTTTTTCCCACTCATTCTGCATGTTAAGCCCCTTTAATTTTTCGTGGAAAATGTCCTTGTACCTTTTCAGTTGTCCACCTGGCCTCCTCTTACCGTCTACAAGCTCACCTTTACAGCAGAGATTTTGGTATGCGGTTTTCTTGCATTCTGCATAAGTGACCAGTCCATCTTAAGCGGGATTTTGTAACCATGACTTCAATACTTTCGCAGTTAGCTTTTTCGCGACGGAGCTAGCTACTGTCTAAGAGCGGTTAAGTCAAGGGTTTATAAAGCATAATAGAGCTCAGGGACAGAGATCAGAATTTTTTATTTTAAATTATTTCCATTTCTTTGTGAAAATTTGTTTCTTATTTAGGTATTATTCAGGACAGTAGCTATGATGGTACCGGACTACGCAATGATCGGAGAAATATCTTTATACTCCTACGGATTTGTAGATGCCAGAAATTTGTCAGTAAAAATTGTGACCGTATATAGATTATGTTCAGAACAGTTATCTTCACAAAATCACTATGATTACGGTATATATTTTATTGAGAGTTATATAACTTTTTCTTTAACGCAACTGTACCATTTTAGGAATGAGAGCTGTGAAGTCTGTTTTATCTGCCGCCGGTAATAACAAGAGGAAAGCACCAGACGAAAACGAAGATATTCTTCTCTTGCGTGCAATATTAGATGTTAACTTGCCAAAATTTTTAAATCATGATCTTCCTCTCTTTGATGGTATGTTCATGACATTTTTTTTTATTTCATATAGTGTTTTTTATATACTACTGAAATTATTAGATAAGACATGTATATGGTACTATAGTTCATTCCAAATAAACTTTTAGTCAGGTGATTAAGCTTGATCGGCACAGTGTTACCGACTTTTACATATTCTCTTTTAATCAAAGTATTTTAGGATTAGTTAGTTTAGGAACAGTTCTTAACAAAACTCGCCCTCCTATCAGCACTTAAGGGACAAGGAATATTTATAAGATATTATAAAGGGTATTTAAGGGATAATATAAGGATAGATTTAAGGGATAAAGGGAAATTATTACCGTTTTCCCGTTAAAAATATTCTAACTAATCTATCTAAATCTAAAAAATCTGAAATGTCAATATTCCATGGGTATAGTGATAAATGAAGTCTAAATTATAAAAAATGCATTTTCTACGAAAACTTGAAGAGATGGGTAAAAAATGGTATATTACAATTTGATAGACAATTACATTGTGAATCTGATTTACGTAAAATATATAGGGTGTTAAATTAAACAAGTTATTGCCGTTTAAAGCTAGTAATTATTTAATATAAATGTTTGGACACTCTGTATAAGGCAGTAAAATTTTTATTATTGCAACACAATATCTGATCAATAAATAATCTTCAGTAAATATTTAGTATTAAAAATTTTGATACCCTTGGAGAAATGAAGCCTTAAAATTTTTACTGCAATTTCATAAAATTGGTAGGTAGTAAAATTTTTATTATTGCATCACAATATCTGATCAATAAATAATCTTCAGTAAATATTTAGTATTAAAAACTTTGATACCCTTGGAGAAATGAAGCCTTAAAATTTTTACTGCAATTTCATAAAATTGAAAATATTTCAAACACGATAAGGTTTAAGTGTGATAAACCTTAACTAAATCTACCTTTATTTCAATCGTAGTATCCAAATATAGAATAATAGACAGGGTGTTCCATTTAAAAAAATACAACTATAATATTTTTTACTTATTTGCGGCACTCTGTATCTTAATAATTTAAAATTGTAGGTCTATTTAGTCCTTCGACGAACCCAAAACTTACAATTTGTAAAAATCTAATCGTTTAGCTACAATACTCCGTGTCGTATGTGGTGAACAATCCTGTATATTTATTATTATGAATGTACGCGAGGATTATAATTTATCTATTACATCACTTTATTCTAGGAATTATATCTGACTTATTCCCTGGTGTAGTTTTACCGGAAGCGGATTATACAGTTCTTACTAAAGCAATGGTTACCTGTGCCCAAAAAAGAAATCTTCAGCCTAGGGAAAGCTTCTTGATAAAAATTATACAAACTTACGAGATGATGATTGTCAGGCACGGTTTTATGGTAGTTGGCTATCCTTTAGCTGGCAAAACATCCACGTTAAAAGTATTAGCTGATAGCTTAACACTTATGAACAAACAAGGACTGAACGAAGAAAAAGTAAGTAATAATTTTTAATTTTTCTGCATCAAAGATGGGCGTCCAAGACTGGTGTTGTGATACTAAAAAACTGTTTTTTTTATTATTATTTTTTAATATATGCGAAACCGCTGAAAATTTTGAATACGAAAAACTTTGAATACAAAAAAAAATATTTTTTTAATTCTCCATCTAACAGAGAAATAATATACAGCTTGTTATATTAAAAAAAACGAAGAAAAAAAAATTAAATTAAGTAAAAAAACGTTAAATACAGACCCACTAAAGTAAACACCTAATATATTTTTGATTTCAGGACAGTTATTGTATTTTTTAAGTAAGGCTGAAAAATATATATTAATTATTTATTTATTAATATCTCTAAACTATCGAAATATATTTACTCATATCTTGGTATTATGTAAAGTGATCTGAAAGGAAGCCAAAGTGCAATAACATACAGGACGTTCCATTTAAAAAAAATCATCCCGATCCACTAGCACTTTTTTTAGCCACCCTGTAGAAGTTAAACTATTTTCCAGAAATATATCCTTGTACATACTACATAGAATGTATTCTCTACTCTTTGCTATAGGTTTTCATTTACAGTAATCGCAAAACAATTTCCGATGCACATGATCAACTTTGAGTGACAAGCGATGGCGAAAAATCTTAATTTAAAATTGACAAACAATATATTATATCCTTTATTAAAGATTTTTACGTTTTATTTTTAATTTAATAACTAATATTTTAGTAATTCATTGACTTATTTGTTTTATAGCTTATTTTACTTATTACATATTGGCGAAAACTAGTCCATTTTGAAGATTATTCTAAGCGTTATTATGGGTTAATTATTTATTTATTCATGTACATTTTACAACGCCATAAGTGGTAATAACAAGTAAGAGGGTGCTATTAATTCACAAACTAATAATCACAGAATGTAATAAAAACAAACGTAGAAATAACTTTGCAAATGGTATAATGTGCTTATCAATCAAACTAATTTCTTTGACTGCAGTCAAGGGTAATAAAGGACCTTCATTGTCACGTTCTTGTTCAAAATAGTTTATCAGGGAAGCTACGCGCTCTTTGCTTGGACTGTTAAATGCTTCGGCATATTTTCAATTTCAACACACAATTTCAAGAAATGCAAATAAAAAAACTTGAAAATATAGTTCTTAAAAGAACTGTTTGTGCTAAAAAGTACAATTTTTAAAAAAATACTACGAAAATAGGCAAAAAAGGAGAATTACTCACAAAGATTCACAACAACACGATATTATACAAAATAATGATTGATATTAGGATAATTATTGTCAAATAATAAACGACAACGTTGGTGAACACGGCGCAATGTGACCAACATAGCGATAATAAAATTCGGCTAATTTTTTTCCAGCTTTAATATAAATAAAATATCTGTTACAATCATTTCCTCTATAAAGTAAAATGAAGAGCTGCTCAGTATCTTAAATTATAGAACAAATTTAAACATTTTTGCCAAAATTTCATTTAGCCAAGTTTATAGACTTTAGTGTCAATGTCGATATTTGGTTACGTGCATTGGAAAATGTTTTGCGATTACAATAAACAAAATTCTCAAGTTTTTTATTTCAGGCGCTACAGATGCCCGACGCCCTATTGCCGGACCCCGTATATCTAAATATTTTTATAAACTACTTTAAAAGAATAGTTTATGTTATTTTATTAGATATAAAATTTTCAGGTGGAATACTTAATACTAAATCCTAAAGCTATTACAATGGGTCAGTTATATGGACAATTTGATCCTATTTCCTATGAATGGACTGATGGTGTTGTTGCTACCGGATTCAGAAATTTTGCAACAGATCCTAGTCCGAATAGGTACAAAACGTTTATACATTGGTATCTTTTTGTATTCACTCTATTTTCTGTTTAAATTTTACTATTATATGTATTGGCATAATAATAACTTTTATGTATATCTAATAAGTTTAGATGTTTCTTATTAGAAAGTGGATAATATTTGATGGTCCGGTAGATGCAGTTTGGATTGAAAACATGAACAGCGTTCTTGATGACAATAAAAAACTTTGCCTGATGTCTGGGGAAGTTATGTCAATGACTAACTGCATGTCCCTGATTTTTGAGGTTATGGATTTGGAACAAGCATCTCCAGCAACAGTAAGATACAAATAGCTTTTCATAAATTAGGCTATTTGTTCATAAACGATATTTAGAAATGCAACTTTACTTGCTTATACCCCTTAAATTTGTTTAGTTAATGCTGTAGAAATATTGACTAATATTGATAAATCTATTTTGTTAATAGTAAACAATTTTAAGATATTTTCAGCTAAAGTCTGTACAACGAAGATATTTAAAGACAACATCCAAAATATGACAAAAAATATAGTCTATTTGCGAATTAAAATGACACAACTGCCACTGTCTTTTCTGGCAGATTTTATTCTATACCGGGTGCGTCTCAAAAGTGGCTCACCCCTATAACTTTTTTATTTTTTAGTTAAAAAAACGAGATTTGGTATGTTAGTATATGACATAGTAGACATTTTCCACGAAAACTTAAAGGGAATTAACATGCAGAATGAGTGGGAAAAAACAGCTCACAATAAACCTCAATGGAGAAGAGTTGTAAACTCAGTTAACAGCGGCAACCAAAAAGTAAAGAGGCAACAAAGCAATGAGATTTTTGAATGGCCGGAGTGCGGTAGGCAGATAACATCACGTATCGGGCTTTTCAGTCACAGAAAAGCTCATGAAAGAAAACGCCTTGCGTGACCATCTTCTTTATGTGTGTCGAATACTCGTCAGCGAGTAACGGCTGTATGTATGTATGTATATGACATAAATTAGGATTGATTGATGTATTCAATTGTTTTCTGTTACTTCCTGTTTCACCGGAAATGACTACAACTTTTGACTTTTAAAAATGGCACCCTTGGTATTTTTTTACTTTATTCGATAGAAAATAACACTCAGAATATGATGACATATCATATGTCAACTTGACATTTTCGCATATGGTTTATCTGAAATTATAACTTCGTAACGAAAATTTGACTCGAAATACCAAGTGTGTGGTATCAAATTATTCGTAAAAAATGCTTTTTCCAAATATGCTAATGAGCCACCCTCGTTCCATTTGAAAAAATTGAGATATGAATAAAAATACGATTTGAGTATTTTTTAACCGGTCGGGACAACTAAACACATTAGACGATCAAATATATTTTTCCAAGGCATCGTGAATAAGAATTAGTGTTTTTAACATAGCCATGACACTCTAGATTGAAAATTAAAATAAGATTTGTTATTAAGAGTCCAATTCACTAGTCCAAAAAAGTGGCAAAATAAGCGGTCGGCATTTAACATTTTATGTAAAACTGGCTAGGTATTTTTACCTAAATGAAGAAGGAAATCAAAGATAAAGGATTATACTATATCTGTATTGTAGCACTTTTTTAGACAGCTTCTTTATTTTTAAGATTTTGATGGTCAAACATCAACAAAATATTCCTCATATTTGGATTAAATTTGCTCGAAAATAAAGACATAATTTAAAATTCCGTTACAATAGCGAATAAGATTGAAGTCTTGTGATTGCAGTGATATATAATTTATATGGTTTTGTAACAAATTGCTCGCTTTCTTATGGCAAATGCTTAAGTTCTGCAAACCTGTGCCTTAATCAAAGCACGTGTGTTTGGAATTTTGGGTATGGCTTAACACGACAGGATCGGGCTAAGCCTTAGGCAGATTTCTGAAATATAATATACATATATTTCCTTCGACCATACACCGGCTTTACCGGACCCCTGTGACCGACCTGAAGAGTACAGCGTAATAGACTCTTAAGCGAGAATGTCAAAAGTTGCTTTGTGATATGTCATTCTATTCAGAATGTCATTTTATATCGAATAAAGTAAAAAAATGCCAAAGGTGCCATTTAAAAATCAAAAGTTGTAGTCATTTCCGGTGAAACAGAAAGTGAACAAAAACAATTGAATACGTTAATCAATCTTAATTTATGTCATATGCTAACATATCAAATCTTGTTTTTTATCTGAAAAAAATAAAAAAGTTATAGGGGTGAGCTACTTATTTAAGTCATATTATTATTGTTTATTGACGTTTACTCTAGTAGATAGGCGTTTAAGTTCTGAAGTATCGGCTAATGCTGCCTTTATTTGATTTTAAAAAATTGTAATAAAGTCCAAAAGTTGATCTTAAAATCATATTTGCTAGAGTAACTAGTTTTATGTTCAATAAAAACAGGGTTGTTTTTAAAAAACGATTTTATTATTACAAACGTTCTCGACAGAGTACAGAGAGTGAAAAGTCTGCGCCGAACCGTGCAGTTCGCTTTTATATGAAACATAATGTAAAATAGGCATTCAGTATTTAATTACAATGAAATAACACTTATTTATACATATAACTCCTCCCCTGTTAAGACAAGAAATTAACGGAGTTATTTTCGGGGATCCTCTTCTGTGGGACTGGAACATACTTCTTGAGTTGTGGGTATTTTCTGAACACCAGGTATATTGCCATTATTAGACAAATGAAGATAATCACAATGTCGAAGATGTCTGGTTGATAGGTTCTTTCTTCGGCTTCATTGATCGGTGATAGTTCGTTGAATTTTTCTTTTATGTCGTATATATCGTCGAAGTTGATTTTCGATAGCTTCGGAGCAATATATTCGAATTTAGATTCTGATTTTTCAAGATTTTCTAATTGTACCTCAGGCAGGATTAAAGGTTTTCCTTTTCTTAGTTGAACATCGTTTCTATATGTTCTTGAATTGATGGTCACACATGTATTGATTGATTCGGCATTGTGCATATATTCGTTCTTCTTTGGCTGGTAAGATTTTGATTTTAAGGCGGTTCTCATTTCATTGAGACCGCGATTACAAGTTGTTGTCGTGTGGTACATTTCGAGTTTTTCTTTTTGTTCATTTATTGTTTCGATATCGTTTAGAAATTTACTACACTGAATAAAATTGAATGCAGTATTTTTAAATAGTTTTTGTAAGGTAATAATAAAATTTGTAGCTATTAATTGATGTTTAAAATACAAAGCATAAGTTTGTTTGGGGTCAATAAATTCTTTCAGGAATTTTACAAAGTTTTCCGTTGATCGATGTTATGATATAGTTAGAATTTTTTTTTAGAATTTAGAATGAGTGGGAGGGGGGTTAATCACTTCGACCTTACAGATCCATTGTGTCCCCCTTTCTTGAATCATAACTCATCATACAGTCCCAGGGCTTTGACAAAAGCCAGTATCTGGGACGGTTTTATAGAGCGTAGTTCTCCATCTCCAATATCAGTCGTACCAAAATTCATGGCACGAATGGTTGTCGTCTCGGCGCACTCAGTGATGAGGTGTACTGGTGTTTCCCCATCTTCCCCACAGAATCTGCATTCGCCGTTTCTTCTTAGTTTCAATCTACTGAGGTGTTCATTGAGGAGACAGTGTCCTGTTAAAAACCCCATGACAATCCGAAGATTGTTCTTACTCAGACCCAGGAAGATCTGTGATTTTTCTTGATCATAAGCCCTCAGAAACTTCTTCGAGTGTCTTAGACCATTGCAAGATTTCCATTCCAGGTTGCGGATGGAATCTTCCAAGTTCTTGAGTTCCGCCTTGAGTTGGTTACCACTTGGAAAGCAGAACGGTTCTGGTCCAGATAGTGGAGTGTTCGCTCCTTTCCTAGCTAGATTATTTGCTTTTTCATTGCCTTCTATCCCTTGGTGAGCAGGCACCCAGTGTAGGAGGACTTTGTTTTCTTTGCCTAATTTATTCAGCTTCTCTATGCATTCTTTGACCAATTTCGAATTGATTGATACTGAGTTGATCGCCTTTAACGCTGCTTGACTATCAGATAAGATGGCTATTTCATGTTTCCGATAGTTCCTATCTAAGATAAGTTGTACGCATCTCTCGATAGCGTAGATTTCTGCCTGTAGGATACTAGGGTAAATGATATAGTTACGTATATTCGAGTATTTTTGAATATTTATTCGTGTCTACATTTTATATTGTCAATTTCTCCATAGGTGAATATTATTTGATTTTTATAGGTGTTTAATGAATGTTCTGAAATAGGGAGACCTATTATTGGTTCTTCTAGAGAAGTTTGACGTGTCTCTAGATCAGATGATTCTTTTTTCTTTATAGGATTTGGTGGTCTTATTTGTATGTCTGAGTGGATAATTATTTTTGGTTTAGGCTTTATTCCTAATATTTCTTCTAGTTCTTTTTCTTCTATTTCAGGTAAATTTTCTCTATTTTTTATTAATTCTTCGATACGTTAATATCTCCTGGGTTATTATCGATTGATTCGGTCTCTAAGGCGTTTAGCTCTTGATTGTTTATTGGTATTCTTGATAACGCATCGGCTGCTTTGTTTGCCTTTTTTGTATTCGATATTGTAATCGAACTCTTCTAATTTTAACCTCCATCTAACTAAACGGGAATTCGGTTCTTTTAAAGAGACCAACCATTTTAAGGGGCGATGATCAGTATAGATGGTAAACTTATGTCCAAAGAGATAAGGTTTGAAATGTTTGCAGCTCCACACTATTGCTAGTAATCCTTTTTCAATGGTGGAGTAATTGATTTCTGCGGGGTTTAACGTTCTTGAAGCATAACATATAGGGTGATTATTTTGCTATAATACTGATCCTATAGCATACTTTGAAGCATCGGTGGTTAATTCAAAAGGTTTCGTGAAATCAGGATATGCTAACACTGGTTCTGATGTTAGTATTTTTTTACAAGTGTTAAAACACTCTATATATTTTTTTGTATGTATTACTTTTAGTTCATTTTTAAAAAATTGAGTCATTGGTTTTGTTATCTTTGAGAAGTTCTTGATGAATTTTCGATAGTATCCTATCAGTCCGATGAAAGATTTTATCTCTCGCTGAGTCTTAGGTATCGGGAAATCTTGTATCGTCGATATTTTCTTACTATTCGGTTTGATTCCGGATGGTGTGACAACATGGCCTAAAAATTCGACTTCTTTCCTTAAAAACTCACATTTGTCCAGTTGTACTTTTAGATTGGCATCTTTTAAATTTGTTAGTACCAAGTTTTGTATGTGTCCTTGTAATCCAGAACTAAAAATTATAATATCATCCATATAAACCATACAGATGTTATTTTGTAGGTCTTTTAAAACTTCATCCATGACTCTCTGAAACGTGGACGGTGCATTATTCAAACCAAACGGCATCCGTAGGTATTCATAATGTCCGTTGTTTACGTTAAATGCTGTCTTCTCTATTGAGTTCTTGTCCATTTCAATTTGGTGAAATCCGTTTGCGAGGTCAAGTGTCGTGAAATACTGTGCTCTACCCAGTTTAGCGAGTATATCGTTAATATTGGAAATAGGTTAGCGATCGTCTATAGTTTTTTCATTCACTTTTCTATAGTCGACAACGATTCTCCATTTTTGAACTCCTGACGCGTCCAATTTTTTTGGTACAACCTAGATGGGGGATGACCATGGGCTTGATGACGGTCTGATGATATTTTTCTGTAGCATCTCGTCAATTTGTCTTTGAATTTCGGCCTTATGTACATACGGGTAACGATATGATTTAGTATGTACAGTTAATAAATGCTAATTAATGCTAATATGATGTTTTACTTTAGAGGTAAAAGATAGTTTATCATTTGGATGAAAGAATATGTCAGAGAATGACTTACATAGTTTAATTATCTCGCGTTTTTCTTCAGGGTTAAGATGTTTTCAATATTTGAATTTTTATCAAAAGAATTTTGATTATTGATTTTAAAGTTTTCCATTGTAAAAATTTCATAGATTTTTTCGTTAAAAGAGTCTACAGGCAATGGTTCACTTAAGGTTATAGAGATGGTATTATCTGATGGATTTTGAAATTCTATCGGTGCGAAACCGTCTTTCGATGTCGTCAAAATTTGGGGTATAAGTAATGTATTAAGAGTTCCTGGTCGAGTTATAATTTCTCCTTGAAAAATATTAACTGGAACTTTTTTATTAGTTTTTCGTGGGGGTTTACGGAAAAAGAAAAATTAATTTCTTCCGGTTGGCGATATTTGAAGGGTATTTCTACAAAATCGTTTACTAATCTTTTGTTTGTTAGATCGACATTTAAATTCATATTTATCAAGTCTTTTGAACCTATAACTCCATCGAAATAATCGTTCGGGAAAATGTTTTCTACGATAGATGGTTTTAAAATAGAGCGCGAGCTTCCTGATTAATAATTTTAACCTTTCTTTTTTTTCTTTTAATTTTTGATTTTTTATTTCCACATACGGAAGAGCGTTACTAGAAGAGATGTTTATTTCGACCATGTTTTTCTTTCTTTCTGGCTGGGGTCCTGAAAATTTCCTCTTGTGCAGGATGTTTGTTCCTCAGCAGCTTTCTCGTATTCGGTTTCTTGTTGAAATTCTTCTTCTAAACTATGAACAGGATATTCTTCAGAAGATTGGGTTTCATATTCGTCGTAATTATTATAATCGGTATAGTTATAATTTTGTTCATAGAGATGCGCATTTGTTGTCTCTTGGTACGCATAATTATTCATATCTTCGTTTTATTCATTAGTGAATAATTCTTGGAAGGTGAAATCTGGTGGTCAAGTTGATTGGAAAGGTATTTTATAAGGAAGAATTATGATATTGTCTATTCTGATATGATTGGATTTGACTATCCCTTTTCTTCGAAGCAAAAGATGGGTTTGTTGATGTCATGAGACATAGGCTCTGGTTTTGATTGTTGGTGTGGTGGAATTGGCTTTGGCTTGAATACATTTACAGGTGGTCCAAAGACTTCTCTATTTGTTGGAAATCTTCTTGGAGGCATTTCTCTTGGAGTAATGTTAATTGGTTGACAAGGCCAAGGTTGTTTTTGGTTAAAATCTGTATTAGGTACATTTTGACTGAATCGATTATATTGATTTTGGTGATTAAATTGATTTTGATTGTTAAATTGTTGTCTGTTAATAAATTGATTTTGACGGTTAGAATTGTTGTGTGGAAAATTTGTCGCGTTAGAAAAATTATTTTGATTTTGAAAATTTTGTGGTGCTGGTTTTTGTTGGAAATTTTGTGTTGTGTACACCTTATTTTGTTCGTTGGAGCTGCCATAGAGCATTTCAAAATTTTCAAATTCATTTACGCACGCCATTGTATCTTCTAAAGATGTCGGTTTTTTGATATAAAGATTGTTTCTTAAAGTTCCACTGCAACCCGCAATAAATGTATTTAACGCGGTCTTATCATAATGGCTTATTTGACACATTTTTTCTTGTGGCTCTAAACACGTATCGTTACTGATCTTTTGAATTACGTTACTCTTTAGGAGTTGTAGCCTGCTACCAAAACTTAATAGATGTTCGTTTTTAAATGGTCGCGTTCTTGTTAATTCTTGGATTAAGCAATCCAAATTACGTCTATCTGAGAAACATTGTAGTAAAGCGGCTTTTAATTTAGACCAATTATCTAATTCTAATCTGTTTCCTACCATTATTTCGGCTTTTCCTACTAATTTAGACTGTACGCACTCAAAAACATGCTGTTTAATGTATTACTGTTTCCGTCAAAGGGCTTTATGTTTTGTACTTTTGACTTAAAAATATTCCAATTTACAGTTCGTATGTTTTCATTTTCAGAAGCATTGGTTCTCGAATTAATTTTATTTATTTCTGTATTAAGTTTTACTGTTAAATTTGATAATCTGTCTGCTAACTCGTCTACACTCATGAACGTGCTAGTTTTTCATCTACGATTCTATGAGCGTAAATTTATATTATATTTTATTTTTTATTATTTTTACTTAATAAAAATGTTTTTTAAGTACTAGGTAAATTTTTCTGTATTATTTTAGTTGCAAGAAAAGTAACTTTTTTGGTTTTTCTTAATCTAATATCTTCAATAATAGACTGCTCCTATAACTATCCCTACTGATTTCTTTAAACAGTGGTATACCAAAACGGGCAAAAAGGAAGGCACTTACTTTTTTCAAGGTTTTCCTGTCCTTTTTCCTGGACTCCGCTTCCTGCTGTCTTTGTCGGGGTGGTCTGCAACAATTTTCTTTGCTCGTTCTGGGTCTGAACAGCTAATCCGGATCGGTTGCACTATTTAGTCTGTCATTTCACAAAGTTCGTTTGTTCGTTTTTCGCGTTTCAGGGGTTGAAACCGCCACTTTCCGATCTACCACTGTATGTGACACTCGAAAGGAAATACACGAAATCCTACTACGACTGCGCTAGTTTCCTGTTCAGTAAAAACAGGGTTGTTTTTAAAAACGATTTTATTATTACAAACGTTCTCGACAGAGTACAGAGAGTGAAAAGTCCTACCGAACCGTGCAGTTCGCTTTTATATGAAACATAATGTAAAATAGGCATTCAGTATTTAATTACAATGAAATAACACTTATTTATACATATAACTAACTGGTAAATAGACAATAGGATTTTTCAAAGACAGTGACATTACATAAGCCATAAACACTACTTTATAGGTCTGTTGACTAGGACCAACTAGGACCAAAAGCAAAGGCATGGTTTTAATATAAAAATACTAATTTTAACGTACACTAGAACGAAATATATAAAACTTTAAAATTGATGAAAATTTTAATGTGAAAATTTTCGAGCCGGTAGGTGTATATTAGGTGTATATTATATTGCTTTGAGGATTATCAAGTCTTGTCAACTAATCTTTGAGTTGTGAGTCTTGTCAACTAATTTTGAACTTTCACTTACCATATCTTCAATATTAGTCCAATGCGATAATTTTCGTTGATATTTTGACTATCATATAAAATATATGTCTATAAATTTGATTATAATTTAAGTTTTTAAAATCTTGGTTTTAAGTCAGTAGTTAATAAAACGAAATTTTTGTTTACATTTAGTTTAATGATTGATGTTTCGACCAATTTTAATTCGGCATTTTTCAGAATCATAAACGTAGAACATCATTTTCATTAACAACATTTTAAAATTTTAATAGAAATACAATTAGGACTTTTAGCTTACAACTTTTAGCTTTTACTCTTACCTTTACAATTGTTTGATTACATATATTTATATTAAACGATAGGTCTCGAGGTGCGGGATGATTTATATGCAGCCTGAAACGTTAGGCTGGAGACCATTTGTGGACTCCTGGCTACCGACTTGTAACCCGGAATGGTGCGGCGATGAAAATCGCGGCCTTATCAGTGACCTATTTGACTGGATTGTACCTCCGTGCCTCGAATTTATTAAAACTAAATGCGTCATGGTAATTATTGGTTGGCGGAGAGGAAGAGTTGGAGTCTCCCTCTCCCTCTCTATTCAATATTAATCTTCTTGGGCTTGTACACTCAGATGCAAAAAAGCCCAACGGATAATTTTTTCGTCAATTTTTTAAAGTGTTATATTTTTTTACTTTTAGCCCTATTTTCATGATTTTTTAGCATATTGTATATAAATCTATTAGCTTTAATTCATGAACTCTAGTATTTGACTTATTATACAGGGTCTAGTATTACTCTAGTATTTGGCTTATGAAGGGTTGGTTGTTTTTTAACTTAACTTTAAAACACCCTGTGCAATAATTTCGAGAGTAACTTTTCCTAAAATATTATCTATCGATCAGAACTATATCTTCTGAGCATTTTATTTTTTGACTCATATCAACACATGCCTTGGTTAATTTTTAAGAGCGAAATGAACTTGCCACCAACAATTTGCATTTTTTTACTATCAATACTTTATGATGTTATATTTTAATACCACGAGGTGGCTTTGGTGACTAGTGTCGTAATGTCATCGACATTGATTAGAACTCTATATGGAAATTTAAAAAACGTTAAAAAGTAACGATACAGGCTTGGTTTAACTAAATATTAGTGACACTCTCAAAACTAAGGTTATTAAAAAAGATAAACTGTAATAACTCTGTATACAGGGTGTCCCATTTTAGTTGAAATCATACGGTATTTCCGTTAATAGTGAAGATAGAAGGGTGCGGTTGCCACAAACCTGTCCCACTTTTTTGTCAAACGGAAGATGCTGTAAACAAAATTTTCATAGCCCTCTTTATGTCTGAGTTACAGGGCCTTTTTATTTTTTTTAAAGACCCTGTAGCTCAGAAACAAAGCTGACTATGAAAATTTTCTTTACGGCATCTCCCGTTTGACAAAAAGTGTAGTATCTTTACTAATAACGGAGATATCGTATGATTTTAACCAAAATGGTGCACCCTATCAGGGGTGGATGGGGAAGTGGAAACCGGGCCGGGAATAACAGGCAACCGGCCCAAATCCACAAAAACAAAATGACCATAACGAAGAAACCTATATATCTTATTTATTAATATATAAGTAAGGGGTGATTTTTGCTCGGGTGAATAAAACTTTTGCCTCTGTTTTATATTAAAAAATTATCAATGGGTCGGTCATCTGAATTTTTACTACAAAATGGCTCAGTTTCACAGGGTTTTACTGTTTTATTTCCATTATCAAGAACGGTAATTTGATCTTGAGTAGGCTACGAGTCACAATTGAGAAACTTTAAAGGTTGATTCTCACTATACCTTCCGTTTCCATTCCATATCCATTCCATATCCGTTCCGTATTTTTTCTTGTATTGACGCTATACGTAAGCTTCCGTTCCGTATCGGTTCCATATTTTTTATTGAACAATGTATATCATTACGAAATTTTTATTTTAAAAATGTGTATATTTTGAAAAAGGTAATAGATTTGATTAAGAGGTGAAAGAATGAATAAATATCAGCAAAATTTTAACAGAGTTGGTTCAAATGTAGGAACTTGACAACGCTGTTCCCGATACGCTTCAGTCCGTCCGCCAAAAAAATGTACGGAAGGAAAGGATATGGAACGGAAGGGAAACGGAACGTATAGTGTGCATTGTCCTATTCATTTACATGATATAATATTTTATGTAAACGGAAGGGAAACGGAAGGGAGCTGATATGGAAGGTATAGTGAGGATCAACCTTAAGACTCCCTCATTCATTCAGTTCAGCTGGCCCAATCCTCTGTGAAATACATTATTTTTAACTTTTCAGGTATATACTTTCTTATACATTGTAGAAAGAAATTCTCTCTTTTTTGGTACAGCAGCAGCCTCGTCGTGTATACGTGTTTTAATTTTTGGTATAATTCTCAACACGTAACTTTTTCTCGTTTCCACATTTGGCGTTTTGTATGATAATACAATGACTCAAACGAAGAAAACCTAGGCAATAAAGTAAATAATGTGTTCTGAGATAGATGCTATGTTACGGTCCGTAATAAGAATATTTGGATTTTCGAGACATATTAATATTTTATTATCTAATCTAGTTTAAACTTTATTTAATTCTTCTCTGCTGTCTCACTAATTTTTAGTAAATTTATTTTAGTAACATGTAAAACAACAATTTAGACTTGACTTATTTCTCAGACTTTGCTTGTAGTCCGTCCCCAATTCAAATCCAGCATAAAGATAGCCATCTACTAAATACGGCCTACTTTTTTACTCAGATGAACTCGAAAACTATTGCACCGAGGCCTGAAAAACAGGGTGAGTCTTAAAAAAGTGCAAATATTTTCAAGGGTGGTATATTTCGGCCCCAGGAATACGTTTATGAAGTTTCTTGGCCAAAATTGTTGAAAATCGTGCATTTTCTTTTAAATTTTCCTGTATATTTTAGAAAACTTTTTAGAAGTTCCTGTTCACCGCAATTTTTTTCACGGTATAGTTTCTCAATCACAAGTTCACAATCTTCAGTCTTAATCTTTGATATTAAGAGACTAAAAGAGATGCAAATAAAGAAAAAATTCTGTAGCTTTCAAATTTTTTTAAAAATAAATCAATTTTTTTTTAATTTCCAAACTTTAATAACTCGGTTTTATATTGGACTTATTTGAAACACGGTAAAGAGAATATATTACCTACGGTAAAGAGAATACCAGCCTTGAAAATATTTGCACAAAGACAGCAGATGTTTATTAAAATTATAAGTGTCTCAGAGAAGGACTTCTAAAAATAGTTGTTTGATGCAAAATTATTAATTAGTTAGACAGTCACTAAGAATCTAAGGTAACTTTAGTTAGAAGAGTAACCATTTAATTTTTGCTAAGCCAATGTAGAAAGAGATTAAAAATCTTTGCGGTCTGATCGGGACTGGCCAACCGGCTCATCTTCCCACCGCCCCACCGGGAATTTTCCCGTTTTCCCATATGGCCCACCCACCCCTGCATCCTATACAAATAAACAAAAAACTTGTAAAAACTACTCTAATACTTTGTATTGCCTCCCCCGGCTGCTATAACTCTCTGTAGACGTCGATTCATACTGTTAATAAGGCTGCAAATATATTGTGTTATGTTTTACCACCCTTCTTCAAGGACCAAGCGAATATTCATAATTTCGGCCATGTTCAACAAGATCATTGATTTGTGCACAATCTTCGACACTAAGTACCATATTTGACATCAATAGTAATGTAAAGTAAAAATTTTAAGTTAACGTCTCCTTTTTGCTGCCAGGGCTAATCTGGACGGGACCTACTTTGTTGTTTGAACCGCAATCCTCGGCCATATCATGGTCAATGGCCTACCGACTTAGCAAATGTCTAAATCGACTCTTACTCACGAGATATCCGATCTCATCCGGCCTCGAACCGGCGTGAATAAGCAGTGTGTGTCAATAGATTTTAAACTTTTGCCTTTTTTTTGGGCAACAGCACGATACAGAGATTCGAACTGGTCACCCGTCCATCCACTAGTATCGCCTTACGTCGCTTAACTTCGGTGTTCTAATGGGAACCGGTGTTTCGACGTTGCCGACATCAATAGTGAAATGAAGAATAACATCAAAAAGTAACGATAATTGAAAAAATTGCAAAATGTTTGTGGCGAGTTCATTTTGCTCTTAAAAATTAAACAAGGCATGTGTTGACATGAATCAAAAAACAAAACATTACTCAGGAGACACGGTTCTAACCGAAAAATAATGTTTTAGGAAAATTTGCTCACGAAATTATTGCACAGGGTTTTTAAAGATACGGTAAAAAAAAACAATTCTTCGATTAACTTTGTATATACAGGGTGTCATTGAAATGGTGTAAAAAAAATCGGGGGGTAATATTACTCCTAAAAATAGTAAAAAAAGTTCCTATAAGTATAGGGCGGAAAATGCATATTAAGGGAGTTAGAGGCATTGAAAGGGTGAATTTAAAAAACGGTTGTTTTAAAATTGTAGGCTTAAAGAACGAGATAAAATTTCGAAAATAATCTTCTGCCATAAATTTTGACCCTAAATCAAATGGTGATACTGAAAAATTATTTGGAAAAGCGGAAACGGTAGTTTTTGCAAAGGTAGGGGGTTGTTTCGTGAATAACTTTTTTGAGGTTATTTTTTTGCAACGTGTGTTTATTTTTTGAAAATTACATACTTTTTCCCACAAAAAAAGGTGCACTTGTTGCACATCGCCCAGAGCGATGGTCTTCGAGAAAATTGAAGACAAAGAGTTTGCTCTGATGGGTTGCTAACTGGTTAATCAACATAAACTTATGAAAGTTATGGCGGTCAAAAGTAACCAAGTAGTCATTAAATAATTAATTGAAAAAATCAAAATTTCATGATTTTTAAAACAACTTATTGCTTTAAAACACGAAATAATCCAATTACCAAAATTCCTTATTAAAATAATGCATTCCTTAATTCATTAATAGTAAATGTGCAAAGTGACCACCATTCATTTTAATGTAGACATCTGATCTTCTTCTCCACGATCTGCGTACCCTTGGAATATCCTTGTTGCTGTCCGAATTTGATTGGAACAGTCAATAATGCGTTGCCGTAGTTGCTCTTCAGTATTAATAGGCACTGAGAAAACCAATTTTTCTTAAAACCAAAAAAAAAACCTTTTTAAAGCAAATAAGATGTTTTAAAAATAATGAAATTTTGATTTTCCAATTAATTATTTAATAACTACTTGGTCACTTTTGAACCGCCATAACTTTCATAAGTTTATGTTGATTAACCAGTTAGCAACCCGTCATAGCAAACCCTTTGCCTTTTCAATTTTCTCGAAAACTATCGCTCTGGGCGATGTGCAACAAGAGTACCTTTTTTGTAGGAAAAAGTATGTAGTTTTCAAAAAATGAACCCACGTTGCAAAAAAAATAACCTCAAAAAAGTTATTCACGAAATAACCCCCTACCCTTGCAGAAACTACTCTTTCCGCTTTTCCAAATAATTTTTCAGTATCACCATTTGATTTAGAGTCAAAATTTATGACAGAGGATTTTTTTTCGAAATTTTATCTCGTTCTTTAAGCCTACAATTTTAAAACAACCGTTTTTTAAATTCACCCTTTCAGTGCCCCTAACTCCCTTAATATGCATTTTCCGCCCTATACTTATAGGAACTTTTTTTACTATTTTTAGGAGTACTATCACCTCCCTATTTTTTTTACAACCTTTCAATGACACCCTGTATAATAAGTCAAATACTGAAGTTTATAATAAAGCCAGTTTACGAATTGAAGTTTTGATATATTTATATTTAGTTTATCAAGGAAATGGGGCTAAAAATAAAATAAATATCACATTTTAAACTTGACCATTAATTTTTCTGTTGCGTTTCTTTGCATCTGAGTGTAGAAACAATATATTTTTTACTATTTTAGTACTGTAATCCTGGAGATATTAGTCTTGTGAAAAATATGATGTCAATGGTAGAAATGTTATTAAATGATGCATGCTCTGAGAGTACTAGGAAACAAGAAGATCTTAAAAATATATTATTGTGGATTCAAGCAGCCTTTATACAAGCCGGCGTAATTACTGGGATCTATGTCTAGTACTAATTTATATTCAATTTAATGTACGTCTGCTAGGTTTGGGGAATCGCTTCAATTTTAGACAGAAACTCGAGGGAAATGTTTGATGAATATTATAAACAAATGTGGAGAGGACAGTTAGAAGAATATCCTTATCCGGAGTCTATGCAAAAATTGGAGATATCACTTCCATCTGATGGGATACTATTAGATTACTCGTATAATTACAAAATGAAAGGAAATTGGAGATATATCCCGGATATTGTAAAATCTGAACGTGTTGATGAATGTAAAAATATTCTGCAAGCTCTAATTCCAACAGTCGATACTGTTAGGTGAATCTTTATTTGTGGCGGCTTAACCATAAGGTCAAATGGTCAATGCCCCCCCCCCAAAATCAGAAGAAAATTAGGAAAAACCTATTTAAATTATACTTTTTGTAAATAATTTTTTCATCCTAAGATATTCTAAACTATTCCCAAAAACCATCAATTTGTCCAATTTTCGCTTCAAAACGTTTTATTTTTTCCATTTTCTCTACTACCTGTCAAAATTTTATTTTGTCCTTCGTTCCCGCTATGTTTTGCACGTATTAAACTCCAAATGCCGCGGCTCGTAACGCCAACAAGGTAAGATATACTACATATAGAAAATATAACAGGTTAAGGGTGCGATAGATATAGTTTATATTGGCCATTGACCGCGTCATTCATAAAAGAATTTCAGTCCTTGGAAAAATTTCGCCGTTTGGGCAGTTTGGGTGTTTATAAAAACTCAAATTATAAAACAACCTAGGTTTTTGTATCGTTTATCGCGTATAATGTTTGGTTTAGTCAATATAAAGCAATATTTACATTTTTAATATCGAAAGAATTACCATCTAGTTTGAGGTGTAGCGCGAAATTTGTGTAGGTAATAATTCTTAATTTCCTAGTTATGGATAAATGATGAACAGTGGATAACTGATTCTGGAATAGATATTTTAAAATAGACAACATGGTGTTTCTTCTCTTCTCTGAGTGCCTCTTCATTGTTCATTGAAGGTTGGCAACAATCTCGGCGAACTTCTGACGATCTTGGGCAGCTCGAAATAACGAGTGTGCAGCCGTACCCGTCCAATCTCTGATGTTTTTCAACCATGAATGTTTCTTTCTACCTATACCCCACTTGCCCTCAATTTTTCCCTCCATTATCAATTTTAACAGATCATATCTACTTCCACGCATTATATGACCCAGATAGACTGTCTTACGTTTCTTGGCTATGTGCACTAATTCTCTTTCGTACTGGGCTCGCATCAGCACCTCTTTGTTTGTGGGTCCGTTACAGTAGCCCACCCCCCCGGTTGTCCAAACTCTTTAATATTTTAGTACTGTATTGTACCCACCTAGCACTACCTAGCACCCAATTTACAGAGCTAGCACTACACTCCCAGAAGAGTTATAGCATATTTTCACCTGGCGCACAGTGGGGCGGATGGCAATTCTAGTGAGACAAAACATCAGCGATGTTTGGGACTTTATTATCTCGTAATACGAGATAGTAAAACTAATAGGCCATAAAACTGTTATAATATACATGACACAAAAACCGTACTGTAAACAATTGCCAAATAAATAAAATTATGATATCAGGTGAAACACTTACAAAAAACTCTATTTAACAGTTATTTCTTAATTACTTTGTAATCTTGTTACACCCTGTATATTTTATTTTAAAAAATACTATTTTATCAAAAAATAAATAAAATAGATGTTTAATTTTATTTTATATATATGTATATATATAGTAAGGATCTAAGACAATATTTTAAACTTTTATTAAAACTAATAAATCATTTAATTTTATTAGAAGTTATAAGAAATTTAAAAAAGGCTTTTGCATATCATCATATTTTATTTAACTAGAACATCATGTGGATGTTTTTGTCTTGAGGAAAATTGCCGAACTGACTATTGGTGTCATTCATTGATTTTTTGAACTCAGTGCCTTTCGATAAAATTTCAGAGTTTTCAACAATTATTACAGCAGCATCCCTACTCCCACTAGACCTAAAGCTCACAGTACTTGCAAAACCCAATCTTCTTTTGAAAGGTCCTCTATTAACCCTTTAACGAGTCTTTGTTTCGTGTTTATACTAGCTGATTGAAATTAAACTTTGAAGCGTCCACCAGTTCAGCTTGAATTTCCTGTCACTAATAAAATGCCTTCTAGACACGATTTATTCTATTTGCGAAAACTGTTTAAGGAAAAGCTACTTTTTTTCTATTCTTGATATAAAACAATGGAAAATGATTGCAAATGGGTCTCAACACCTTTCGTTTTATTGTCACTAAGAAAGTTGGGATCCAAAAATTGCATCACGACATCCCACAAAACGGTCAAACTGGTCTTAGATGATTTTAAAACGCCTTTTTTTCTTGAGAGCTTCAAAAAATTCTTGGCAGCTGATTTCAACCTAACCGGTGAATCGGTGAGAGACTCCTAAAAATTATGTTTTTTTTCAACAATTTGGCAACGCCCGGTACAAATAAATATGGGCATGGAAACTACAAATATTCTAGCATCAAAATTGCTTACTACTTTTTGGTAACTATTGGTAACTCAAAAGATCTACATCATTCAATATATCGATATTTGATAAAAAAAAGTGAAAGTTTGATATCTGCAGAACAAAAGCATGAAATATTTTAACGAATAATATACGTGTAGTATAAAAGTAAATAACATAATTTGGTTTTGGAATAGAATGTTTAAGCACTTGTAAATATTTTGTTTTCGTATAACCTCTGCCTTGCTGAGCAGAAAACGATCTTTAGTTGATAAAAATATATCGAAATACATACAAAGAATATATATAACCAAAAAATAATTGATGCATTTTTATATCTATTGGAATGCCTACTATTAATTCATCAGTACACATTTTTTGGCTTATTTCTAACAAAACGGTTTTGTCCCGCTAGAATTACCGTCCGCCACACTGTGCGCAAGGTGAAAATATGCTATAACCACAGACTTAACTATGGCCACCGTCTAAAAATATTCTAATTAAAAATTTTTAGACGGTGCATTGGCTATAACCACCTATAACTCTTCTGGGGGTGTGGTGGTGCTAGCTCTGTAAGTTAGGTGCTAGGTAGTGCTAGGTGGGTGCAATACAGTGCTAAAATATAAAAGAGTTTGGAGAACCGGGGGGGGGGGCACTGTAACGGACCCGATGTTTTGTCCCACTAGCATTGCCATCCGCCCCACTGTGCGCCAGGTGAAGATATGCTATAACTCTTCTGGGAGTGTAGTGTAAATCTGTAAATTGTGTAGTGCTAGCTCTGTAAAATATTAAAGAGTTTGGACAACCGGGGGGAGGGGGGCTACTGTAACTGACCCCAGTTTTATGCCTATTAGTTTTACTATCTCGTATTACGAGATAATAAAGTCCCAAACATCGCTGACGTTTTTTCCCACTAGAATTGCCATCCGCCCCACTGTGCGCCAGGTGAAAATATGCTATAACTCTTCTGGGAGTGTGCTAGCTCTGTAAATTGGGTGCTAGGTAGTGCTAGGTGGGTGCAATAGAGTGCTAAAGTTTTAAGGGAAAAATTCAACCGGGGGGGGGCTTGCGTTACATTAGCCCCCCCCCGGTAAAAATTTCCTGTAATTCACTAGGGGTTGTGGTGCTAGCTCTGTAAATTGGTGCTGGGTAGTGCTAGGTGGGTGCAATAGAGTGCTAAAGTTTTAAGGGAAAAATTCAACCGGGGGGGCTAGCGTTACATTAGCCCCCCCCCCCGGTAAAAATGTTCTGTAATTCACTAGGGGTTGTGGTGCTAGCTCTGTAAGTTGGGTGCTAGGTAGTGCTAGGTGGGTGCAATATAGTGCTAAAATATTAAAGAGTTTGGACAACCGGGGGGGGGGCTACTGTAACGGACCCTTTGTTTGTAACATGTGCCGTCCAAGGTATTTTGAGAAGTCTATGGTGTTTAGTTTGTAGAATCGTGCGGTTAAAAGAAAACTATTGCTTAAATTTCGAAAAACGTTTAGAGAAAGAACGCCGCATTGACTTAAAATATAAAAAAAATGTGAAATAAAACTTTTAGAATTGTGTATGTGTATATATGCATTTATATATTTGTGACATTATTATTTATGTGTATTTTAAATCCTACCGTGGAAAATTTGAGTAAAGAATATTGACTCGATTTTTAATGAAATGGCACTAGACCACCTGTTTAAAAATGTAAGGGTAGGTTTCATTTTAACAGAATTTATATTTATTTTCCTTTAACTAAAAAAACAAGTACCTTGTAAGAAACCAATTAAATTTGGGCGCGTCCGAGGGCGCCTCATAAAAAAATCGACCCAATATTTTTAGATATTGACCTCCCTACAATAATGACCACGAGCCGCCACTAATCTTTATTCGATTCAAAGATATATTTTAATAAATTATTATTTCCAGATATATGGACTTAATTACACTTCATATAAAATTCAATCGAAAATTATTGCTAATAGGACCAACTGGTACAGGAAAGAGTTTTTATACGCACGATTTGCTAATGAATAAATTAAACAGAGAAAGATACGAGCCTGCATTCATTACCTTTACTGTTCAAATAACATGCAATCAAACGCAAGATTTGGTCATTTCAAAATTGAACAAGAAGAAACGAGGCCATTATGGACCTCCAAAGGGCAAATCGACAATTTTGTTTATTGATGATGTTAACATGCCTTTAAAAGAAGAATATGGTGCTCAGCCTCCTTTAGAACTGCTAAGGTAATGGTGAAGACATGTTTGCTAGAAATATATCCTATAAACATAATCTATTATAGGCAATTTTTTGATCACAAAAATTGGTATGATTTAAGGAATACTCAGCCAATTTATCTTCACGATGTTTTATTCATTGGTGCGATGGGTTTAGTAGGAGGAAGCAGACAAGATGTTTATCCAAGATTCTTACACCATTTCAGTATTTTTTCTATTAACGAATTTAGCGAGGAAAGTATGTCAAAGATATATTCCAACATTTTGTTGTTAGGTTGGAAAAACAACGGGTTTCCGGCTGAGATTATTAATACAGTGTTTCAATCTGTGGCTGCTAGTTTGGACATGTTTAAATCTGCTATCGATAACTTGAGACCCACCCCTTCAAAGAGTCATTACGTTTTTAATTTGAGGGATTTCTCCAGATTGATACAAGGTAACTCGTGACATATAATACCTATAAAGGCCTATATTTGTGTGAAGGCGATAGTGATTTAGTAAGCTATGTTTATTTTAATAGGAAAAAAATACATTTCATAAAAAATAAACAAACCCATAATACAAATACTATACACCAATTAATTAATTAATTTTAAATGTATCTAAATAGGCACTTTGATAATTGAAAAATGAACAGGTGCACTCCTTAAAATCACTTCATAGAGTATACAAAATATGCTAAAAATAAAAATTCCAATAAAAAAAACATAAATGGCACATTAAAATCTGCATTATCTGAAATAAAACTATAGCTAAACGGCTAATAAAATACTAGAGACAAGACGCCGACATCTATAACGCGATGAGCAGTTTTTAATAATTATTCCGAATTATTATTACATACTTAGTGTTTGACAATTTATTGTAATGATGGTTATGGCATTCCTTCAAATAAATTTTGATTTAAGTATTGTATATATGTATAGTCATATTAATGATTATAGCCCGTATGATTTCTAAATTATTTCAGAATTATTAAATGATTAAATCAGTAGCGTAACTTCAAATGTGAGGCCCCCCCGCAAGATTTTTTTGGGGCCCTTATATTAAAATAACCTAACCTAACACACTAAAAACATAATATAGCTTTATGTACGTATATCAAGTCATTTAAAATATAAGAACAAAAAGAACCTTATTCCACATAAGAAAAAATAATAATAAAGGAACATAAAAAATAAAATATTAAAAAATAAATCAACACAACATTTTTGGAAATTGTAGGGGACGCTGTTCACATATATATGTATTTAGTAAATAAAATTGGAGGCCTTCATTGCGGGTGCTGCGGGTCCTACGCTACGCTACTGAATTAAGTAGAAATAGTTAATATTTAGTAACTTCGTAAGTGTTATATTTTAATATAATTATGGATTTAATAATTAAATAATTATCTTTAGTTTAAATTGTGATAAACTTGTATGAGTTTCAATCATTTATATTTAAAATCTTAGGAAAGGCAATATAGATTTTAGGCAGGAGAACTCAAGGGAAGGACTGTGTAATTAGTAATTAAGACTTTACAATTTTTTTTACTTGCCATTTTTCTTGTCGTTCACGTTGTGTCACACACAATCTGAATTTCGGATATGATGCAGAACTGATAAATTGGACCAAATATATTAATTGCAAGGTATTCAAAGAAATATTTTTGTTAACTTTACAAACATTTAAAGCATGTAATAATTTAAAAAAAAATTGACGTGAGATTACTTTATAATTCTTGGAAGTCTTAGATGATAAAGATTTGAATTATTATGGGTCTGTTTTATTTAAGAAGCAACAAATAATTTCAAAAACTCAACTATCAAAATATAATGGTAGCAAATTTTTAAAATCATGCATAGGTATAATGTTCTATATTAATTGGACATACTGAATGTAAACTAGGTATAGTTGCTGCAATCGATAATATATTTTGTTGCTTTTTCATATCACACAACATTTTCATCATAACAAAAAACCGTCGATACCGCAACTCATATTATGGGCACCTATGTATACTTAAATCTCATAATGATGTTTAAAAATACATAGGTATACATACTATGAGTAGTTGTTGTGACGGTTTTTTATTAGGTATGATGAAAAGAAGTTTCAAACTAAATAAATTATCGTGGAACTATATTTTAATATATTTTTATCTACAGTAACTATTACTTATTTTTTGTACGGCGAGTTTAAATTTATGGGCCATCCATAAATTTACACCGTTTCGAATATTGGTTAAACCTAGAAATACCTAGGTAATAGCCCGAAATATGCAAAAGAGGGAGTGAGTTTAGGTTAGATTAGAATTAGGTTTTAGTTGGTTTTGCATTAATAAAAATATAGGCTTAATCTAAACTTAACCTAAACTGATCTTTTTTGTATATTTCGGGCTCCTACGTGGGTAACCCTACGTTTAACCAATATTCGGGCTTTTACGGTAATATACTCATTCTAATTGGTTTAATCTGGCTCCATAATGAAACTGTGGGTTCCAGGTGCTATTGCAAATTAATGCCATTAATTCTATTACATAGGTACCTCACATTTCTATAGTGTAGTGACCGTGATCGTGACCATTCATGAATCCGCACACGTTCATCTCCATCATTAATATTTTTCTTACTAAATTCTTCACTTTTATAAAAAGCCATCACGATAAAAATCAAATATCAAAATTATTTAACGTTGCGAACTTACTTGTTCACTATACGTATCTGGAATATACCCTACTGGCAAGCAAAACCATGGGTCGGCGTTTACATGTATAGGAGTGAATCGCTAATCTGCTGAGTCGGAGAGAGCCAAAATACGAAGTATTTATTATATAATCACTTTAATCTGACGCTAGATTCCATGCGATTGGGAAAATACTTGCCTTCTGTCTTTATTGAGTACATCTTATTTTACGTTTCGTACACACGAAAATCGGCACCCAAGACCAGTAATGCCGACCCTAGTATTTGCGAATGGCGATTAGCGATACGTTAGGCTGCCAGAATGCTGACGTCACGAATGTCAAATTGCTTTCCAAACAAGGTTTAGTTCTTTTATATTTCTATTGAGCTCTTCCAAATGATGTCACAAGTTAATATAAAATGTAAAAAACAGATGATTGCCGACCACCGCACCGTCAACTTTTGTGTCTGGTATTTTCAATACGCCTATGATGGTTGCGCATGTTGAAAAATCTGTGAATTTTTGAATGTACGTGGCTGAACCTGTATATTAATGAAAAATAATGTATCGCTTTGTAGGGAAACCAACCAGCGCGCGACGGCGCCAGACGTCACTAGGATATCACACCTTAACGCAGTCGGGGATTCATTTGATTCACTTGAAAGACAATAGACTCCCTACGCAAGCGTTAAGCTTGATTTTCATGGGTCCGTGGTCCGTTGAATCGATGGTCCGACGACGGCGCTCTTAGTCAGCATTTTCGCGCCCATAGACTTAAAATAAAATATAGACTGAGCATCTCATTCATAAATAGCTGGAACATGCGGTCAGACACTGTCTTGTTATTGTTGTGTTATCGTTTTAGGTTATAACGAGTGCGACACGAGCGATAGATGGGTTGTCTCTGTCGTAACGGTCGTTCCCTGACGACTCTGCCGAGAAACACAACACTGTCTTTCCTTTCTCAAGTACACCTGAACTCTCCGTATCATAGCCGGGTAATTTTTTTATTTTAATGAAGCTATAATTAAATTAAAAATATATCGTATTTAAACTTTTTTATATTTTATTAAGATTTAGGACAGGTTTTTTATATAAAAGTTTAGAAAAAACGTCTTAGAGTCCAAAAAGGATAAAAATAATAAAATACACGTTATAGAAGAAATTTTATAATCGAAATTACGTAATTTTTGAAATTAATAATAAATTATTAATTTTAGTCAAACATTTACAACCCCTAATATTAATCAAAACAGGATCTATTCCACAGATATAATAGAATCGGCGACAGGGAGAGAAAAAAATATGATTGTTGTAATTTTTTTTCTGGTTAAGTGATGTCTTATGTAAATTAGAGAAAACATAAATCTGTTCCATTAAAGCAAGGAAGGTGATAGGAAGTGGATAAAATGAAAACTACATTTATTTAACTCGGTACTGTCTTTATTATACCGGGTGTGTCCCAAAAGTGGCTCATCCCCCATAATTTTTTTATATTTTCAAATAAAAAAACAAGATTTAATATGTTAGTACATGACATAAATTAGGATTGATTGACGTATTCAATTGTTTTTGGTCACTTCCTGTTTCACCGGAAATGACTATAACTTTTAATTTTTAAACGGCACCCTTGGTATATTTCTACTTTATTCGATAGAAAATGACACTCTGAATAGAATGACACATCATATGTCAACTTTTGACATTCTCGCATATGGTTTAATTGTAATTGTAACACGCGGTTCATAACGACAATTTGACTCGAAATACCAAGTGTGTGGTATCAATATATTCATAAAAAAATGCTTTTTCCAAAGATGCTAATGAGTCCCTTGTTCCCTTGTTCCATTTGAAAAAATTGACATATGTATGATTAAAAATACGATTTGTACAATCTTTTAACCGGCCTAGACAAGACACGAAACCCATTAGACGATCAAAACTATTTTTCCAAGGCTCCTTGATTAAAACTTAGTGTTTTTAACAACACCATGGCACCCTGGACTGAAATTTAAAATAGGATTTGTTTTTAAGCGACAATGTCAAAAGTTGACATATGATATGTCATTCTATTCAGAGTATCATTTTTTATCGAATAAAGTAACAATATACCGAGGGTGCCTTTAAAAATCAAAAGAGTAATCATTTCGGTGAAACAGGAAGAGACCAAAAACAATTGAATACGTCAATAAATCCTAATTTATGTCATATACCTACTAACATACAAATCTGTTTTTTTTATCTGAAAAAATAAAAAAGTTATAGGGGTGAGCCACTTTTGAGACGACCCGGTATATTAAAAATATTGTTTCATAATGTAATATCATTTTAAAATTCTTGTATGTTATTTTAGATTCTGAAGATAATTTTAGAATAAACCGGAATATATTTTTAATAAAAACATTATTAATTATTAACAGGGTTATAATTATGATTTTGTTACAATGTAAGTAAGTAAATAATGTAATGTAAGAGAAAAAATTCAGATTTTACATTTTACTAAAATATTATCTAAATAAGGGCCTTTCTACAACAACGCCACTGACTCCCAATGGGTAAATTGAGAGTTGCCTACCGGTCAAAAGTCGTTTCAAGACTTAAATGGATTATTTAAGTCAAATTTCTTGCAAATTTGGCACTGGCGAACCATATTTTATAGTTCTTAAACAGAAAAAGTCAATAAAATAAACACTTAAGCAGTACAAGCTTAAGAAAATGCGTTAATACAGCCGGGGAGATAGCGGCAACAAAGCTTTACCGCACACGTGCGACACGTACTACAAGGTAATAAATGAATGAATAGGCTCCCTCGCCTCTAATCGGTGTTGTCATATTGTAAAGAACTTATCCTTTTTAAACAGTATCCGAATTATAATTTAGTAGTATAAGGACTATTTAATACATCTCTGGAATATTAAAACCTACTTTATTCAACTGTAGTATTAATATCTCAATATATGTGTATAACAAGAAAAAAAATATTGATAATATTAAAGACGTGACAGCATAGGCTGAATGAGGAAGGCTCGGTCGACTGTACCCAGAAGTAAACATGTGTACAAAAATATTGTCTGTCCGCGTTGAGATGTAAATAGTGTAGTCTATATTTTATTTTAAGTCTATGTTCGCGCCACTTTTCTTCCGTAAATTTTTTACTTCAGCCTGTCAATGGAGAATGATCGTACGATAATGCACGTTTTGACACTTTTTTGACAAATTTAATCTAATAGTACAAGAGCTAGCAACGTCGGGAAAACAAGAATTTTAAGAAAGCTGGTTCTTTGATATATCTTTTGCTATGCTCTCCTGTGCTGCTGACCAAAGTGCGGGAAATCTGACTGCCGCGCCTGTAGACTACTCCAGTTTACTACTGCGTAGCACATCTGTACAGGGTATTCCATTTTCGTGTGTTTTATGGAATTTCTGTTTTATGAGTAGAAATACAATGATGCGATTTTCACATTACTTTGCTACTTTTTATGAGACTAAATATTCTAGACATATTTTGTCCTAGCTTCCTTAGTTCCTGAAATACAGGGCTAATTTATGATGCGCAGTAGTAAACCGATCTTAAATAAAGATATGATGCACTGTAGTGAACGCAACGTTTACCGGGAGCCAGACGGTCCGCACTCTGTTCAAGAGAGCATAACAAAAGATATATTAACGGACTAGCTTTCTTAAAATTCTCTCCCGAAAACGTTGCTAATTCTTAGACTAGAAGTAAAACAGCGAAATAGTTATGGAGATGAAAATATAAAATGAAACCAATCAAAAGCAAATCGTACATCCGATGAACGGAGGCGTTAAAATGAAATAAATTTAAAAACTGCGTAATTTTCTAACCAATCGAAGTCTCTAAATTCAACCAATAAAATTAATATCATATCATCATATCGTCGCAAAAGGGATTCTTAAAAATCAAGCTTAACACGACAAATAATCAAAAACGGTTCCGAAAAACTAATTTTAGCCCGAACTTTTTATTTGCTAGTAGTATTGAGTGTTGTTTTTTTTTCTGCTGCCTGATTGCCGCCTAACAGTTTAAAAATGTGTCATAAAAATACACTCAGATGCAAAAAAAACGCAACGGAGAAAATTTTGGTCAAATTTAAAGTGTTATATTTTTGTTACTTTTAGCCCTATTTTCATAATTTTTTTAGCAAACTGTATATAATTATATCAACTTTAATTCGTAAACAAAGTTTTTTATAAACTTTAGTATTTGGCATATTATACAGGGTTAATCGAGGGGTTGTTTTCTTACCTTAACTTTAAAACACCCTGTGCAATAATTGCATGTGTAAATTTCCCTAAAATATAATTTTACGGTCAGAACCATGACTCCTGATCATTTTGCTTTTTGATTCATGACAATACATGCTTTGGTTAATTTTTAAGAGTGAAATGAACTGATCACGATTAATTTGCAATTTTTTTAATTATCATTACTTTTTGATGTAATATTTTAATGACGAGATGGTTTTGGTAACCATTTTGGTAACGTCACTTTATGCTGCATTGGATACTCTATACTAAATTTAAAAAGAAAATTAAACACTAACGATACAGTCCTGGATTTAATAAAGATTCTTAACGAAAACAGAACTAACGATATTAAAGAAAACATCTGTATTACTCAAGTATACAAACGGAAGAAAAAAAATTGTAAAAATACCCTAAAACATCGTATTGTCTCCCTTGGTTGCTACAACTGCCTGTATACGTCCGTTAATACTGTCATTGAGACTGCATATAGCATATTGCGTTATGCTTTCCCATTGTTCTTTAAGAACCAAGCGAAGTTCATTTAATGCAGCTGGTACTGCTTCGCGACCTTTAACCCTCCTGCCAAGCATTTACCAAACGTCGAATATGATGGGCAGTTCATAATAGTACATGGTTCACAATAATCACCAAAACCACCCCGCCATATTGAAAAATAACATCAAAAAGTAATGATAATTGAAAAAAATTCAAATTGTAGGTGGCAAGTTCATTTCGCTCTTAAAAATTAACCAAGGCATATATTGACATGATCCAAAAAACAAAATACTCAGGAGACTTAATTCGTAAACAAAGTTTTTTATAAACTTTAGTATTTGGCATATTATACAGGGTTAATCGAGGGGTTGTTTTCTTACCTTAACTTTAAAACACCCTGTGCAATAATTGCATGTGTAAATTTCCCTAAAATATAATTTTACGGTCAGAACCATGACTCCTCATCATTTTGCTTTTTGATTCATGCCAATACATGCTTTGGTTAATTTTTAAGAGTGAAATGAACTGATCACGATCAATTTGCAATTTTTTTAATTATCATTACTTTTTGATGTAATATTTTAATGACGAGATGGTTTTGGTAACCATTTTGGTAACGTCACTTTATGCTGCATTGGATACTCTATACTAAATTTAAAAAGAAAATTAAACACTAACGATACAGTCCTGGATTTAATAAAGATTCTTAACGAAAACAGAACTAACGATATTAAAGAAAACATCTGTATTACTCAAGTATACAAACGGAAGAAAAAAAAATGTAAAAATACCCTAAAACTTTGTATTGTCTCCCTTGGTTGCTACAACTGCATGTATACGTCCGTTAATACTGTCATTGAGACCACCCCGCCATATTGAAAAATAACATCAAAAAGTAATGATAATTGAAAAAATTTCAAATTGTAGGTGGCAAGTTCATTTCGCTCTTAAAAATTAACCAAGGCATATATTGACATGATCCAAAAAACAAAATACTCAGGAGACATGGCTCTGTCCGTAAAATTATATTTTAGGAAAATTTACACACTAAATTATTGCACAGGGTGTTTTAAAGTTAAGGTAAAAAACAACTCCTCGTTTAACCCTGTATAATATGCCCAATACTACAGTTTATAAAAGAAACTGAGTTTACAAATTAAAGTTGATATAATTATATACAGCTTACTAAAAAGTTCATGAAAATAGAGCTAAAAATAACAAAAATATAACACTTTAAATTTGACCAAAAATTTCTCCGTTGCTTTTTTTTTGCATCTGAGTGTATATAAAAATCTGATATTTTTTTTTATAAAAAGACTTAAATCTTTTAAATGTCATAAGTCTTTTCTAAAAAAACACATTAAATTTTAAGTCTTAAGTCAGCTTTTGAAAACTTTATATGTGTAAATTTATCGTATAGTTAAATTAGAGTAGATTCGTCGAGATGGCTATCAGACTGATCCATTGCGACCTTTTCAGATCTATTGTAGTCCTCTTCTGATCCTTACATTACATTCTTCAATCCTGTCCTTTTCACAAAGTTTAGCATCTTGGAGACTGAACCCTCCATGTAGCTCTCTGTCAATGAACTGTCATTGCCTATTACCGAGAATCGCACATTTACTAGGCTGTCGCACCGACATAAAATGTGTTCTGTCGTTTCTTCTTCAGGTTGACAGAACCTGCACATGTTGCTTTGTCCGTCAACCCTATTAGCATAGTTACTTTATAGCTGTAAATTTATAGGTTGTGCCATGCTCAAAAAAGAATCCGCTGAATCTAAGAAAACATTTGTGAAGATATGGGCTCATGAAGTACTAAGAGTATTTTATGACCGATTAATTGAAGACAAAGACAAAGAGTGGGTATACAGAAAATTACGCTCCTGTATAAAAGACAATTTTAAGGAGTACTTTGATCTAGTTTTTGATACATATCCAAAAAATGCTGATGGTAATGTATGGCAATTTTTCAATAATATGATAATTTAACGCATTTCTACGCAGGCGTTGTATTACATGAGTCTATAAAAAGATTAATGTTTGGGACATACTTTGATCAAGATTCCGATGAAGACAAACGCTATGAAGAAGTAGAAAATATTGAAACGTTCAAGGATTTGAGTCAAAGTTGCTTAGAAGAATATAACGCTACTCATAAAACCAAAATGGACGTTATATTATTCGATTATGCTCTAGAACATTTATCAAAAATATGTCGCGTTTTGTCCATGAATTGTGGCAGTGCTTTACTGGTAAGTTCGTTCAAACTTAAAATGCGTCCAAACTTCAGCATTTTAGCCCGAACGAACAGAACCAACCGAGTGCGCAGGAACAAGTAGAACGAATAGGCCGAACACACAGCATTGCGTTTACGCAAACGACGAAATGGGAGATATTTTTTTTTACTAATCTAAAAGGTCCTCAGATACTTGCTCTAAATATAAGCAGGTAGAAAGTTTAGCTTTCAGTTAATTCAATGTTTACAATATAAATTCCTCTTTATTATTGTTACTGAGTATTTACAAACAGTAAATACGTCTATTTTTATGAATATTCAAGTTACTTTTGCTCTTAATTTTTTTTGAAAAATAATTTAACCTGAAACTATTTCGACTATCTTAAATAATTTAATCTAACCTAAATCTATTTCCAGGAAGTTTTTTCGAAGAAACTATTTCAAAGTAGGTTATTTATCTGTGTAAATAACCTACTTTGAAATAGTTTCTTTGTGCCGCTGTGGTGGCCCACAGCGGCGGATACAGAAATTTGTTTTGGCGCCCCCTCTGTATCCGCCACTGGTGGCCCATCGAAAACGTTCCGCAAGCCATAACGGCCAGGGTAATTTTTTTTTTTCAGAAAATTCAAAAACACGTCAATTTTGTTTGTAAGATGGACATCTTTTGCCCCAAAATGAGTTGCAATCTTTCAACCCCCTAAGGCGGGGTAAGTAGTTATTTAATACGGGACTGCGACGTTCGGATGCCAGAGAGGTTACCAAAGATTATTCACCTGTATTTTTTTACCGTGTTTACCTGTGGCTTCTTTTTAAACTTACCAGAGCTGTTGAGAGGGCCTAATTGTTGTGGTTTTAGGTATGTGGCACGGTAAAGTAAATTGTGTTGACGTTCAGAAGCAGTTTGGTGAGACTTTTTGATAGGTTAAAGGTTCTGATCTGCGGAAGATGATGGTGTGATAGATAATTATTGTGTAACGAGAGGTGTACTGGGGCTCGGTTTTATCAGTAAATATCATGCACTAAGGATGTTTTTCGCTGTTAGTCATAGTGCGAGCCAAGCTTAGCCTTGTGAAATATATTTATAAGAAAGATAAAAAAAAACAATTTTTTTGTTTTTTTTTATTACACATTTTATTTATTTGTATATAATATAAAATACACATATTATTTTTTAATTTACATTTTCAATGTAATGTAATTTATTTAAATTGCCTCATCAAGTGTAAAAGATATGCATATGGTCCGTGGATAAAGACAATGTAAAATATTATTGAAACGCTTTAAAAAACCAGGCGATTTAGGATCGGTTATGCGTCGACACAAAAATCCTGAAACATGGAATTATTACAAGCAAATGAGGAATTTAACGACATCAGCAATTAGATCAGAGAAAAAAGCATACCTTAACTATAAGTTTCAAACCTCCACAGCCAAGGAACAATGGAATGAGCTAAGACGACTTAATATACTGTCTAACAAAACTAGAAATATTCCAGAAAACCTACAAAATGTCAATGAAATTAATGGATATTTTACCCAAACAACAAAAACATGTAATATTCCTAAAAAGGATATCTTAGACTATTATAATAACAACAGTTTACTTCTCAAAATTCTTTTTCTACTGTGTCAGAAGATTTAATATCTCATATTATTCTAGCTATTAGATCTAAAGCCTTTGGATCCGATGATCTAAATATCTCTTGATAAGTCTTTTTTGTTGTCTCATATAGTGCCTTAGTATAACCCTGATATTAATTAATGTCTTGTATTCAGAGATCCTTATTTCCCAAAGGTCTTGGAACTCTTTAATGTGCGACACCCATTAGCCAAAAAAGTAACCCCACGAATTCAGCCATTCTACGTTCATTTCAATATTCACCAACTTTTGTTCGAAAATATAGAAAAAGTAATGGAAACCCAAATTCGATCCTATCTTTCAGTTACTAGTATCTTGCCCATTAAACAATCGGGGTTCAGAGCTGGTTATAGCTGTGGCAGTGCTTTGACTGATGTTGTTGATGATGTGGTGAGAGCCCAGGATAAGAATAATGCTAGCGTACTAGTACTTCTCGATTATAGTAAAGCCTTTTGATGTGCTTAACCACATATTTTTAATATTTATTTTAAAATACATAGGTTTTAAGATCTCCTCTCCTTCTTAGCTTTGAAAACTTTATAAGTGTGTAAATTCTACCGTTTAAATTAGAGTAGATTCGTCGAGATGGCTATCAGACTGATCCACTGCGACCTCGGTGATCTTATTGTAGTCCCTTCTGATCCCATTACATTCTTCAATCCTGTCCTTTTCACAAAATTTAATAAAAAAAAAATTGGAGACTGAACCTCCATGTAGCTCTCTGTCAATAACCTAATCATTGACTCCATTACTGAGAATCGTATTACTACTTAGCCGTCGCACCGATATAAAATGTGTTCTGTTGTTTTCCCCTTCAGGTTGACAGAACCTGCACATGTTGCTTTGTCCGTCAACCCTATTAGCATAGTTACTTTATAGCTGTAAATTTATAGGTTGTGCCATGCTCAAAAAAGAATCCGCTGAATCTAAGAAAACATTTGTGAAGATATGGGCTCATGAAGTACTAAGAGTATTTTATGACCGATTAATTGAAGACAAAGACAAAGAGTGGGTATACAGAAAACGCTCCCTGTATAAAAAGACATTTTAAAGTACTTTGATCTAGTTTTTGATACATATCCAAAAAATGCTGATGGTAATGTATGGCAATTTTTCAATAATATGATAATTTAACGCATTTCTACGCAGGCGTTGTATTACATGAGTCTATAAAAAGATTAATGTTTGGGACATACTTTGATCAAGATTCCGATGAAGACAAACGCTATGAAGAAGTAGAAAATATTGAAACGTTCAAGGATTTGAGTCAAAGTTGCTTAGAAGAATATAACGCTACTCATAAAACCAAAATGGACGTTATATTATTCGATTATTAACCAGAGACATTTATCAAAATATGTCGTTTTGTCCATGAATTGTGGCAGTGCTTTACTGGTAAGTTCGTTCAAACTTAAAATGCGTCCAAACTTCAGCATTTTAGCCCGAACGAACAGAACCAACCGAGTGCGCAGGAACAAGTAGAACGAATAGGCCGAACACACAGCATTGCGTTTACGCAAACGACGAAATGGGAGATATTTTTTTTTACTAATCTAAAAGGTCCTCAGATACTTGCTCTAAATATAAGCAGGTAGAAGGTTTAGCTTCCAGTTATTCCAATGTTTACAATATAAATTTACTCTTTATTATTGTTGAGTAATTTACAAAACAGTAAATACGTCTATTTTTTATGAATATTCAAGTTACTTTTGCTCTTAATTTTTTTTTTTGAAAAATAATTTAACCTGAAACTATTTCGACTATCTTAAATAATTTAATCTAACCTAAATCTATTTCGAGGAAGTTTTTCGAAGAAACTATTTCAAAGTAGGTTATTTATCTGTGTAAATAACCTACTTTGAAATACTTTCCTTGTGCCACTGTGGTGGCCTGGCGGCGGATGCATTTGGCGCCCCCTCTGTATCCGCCACTGGTGGCCCATCGAAAACGTTCCGCAAGCCATAACGGCCAGGGTAATTTTTTTTTTTCAGAAAATTCAAAAACACGTCAATTTTGTTTGTAAGATGGACATCTTTTGCCCCAAAAATGAGTGCAAAATCTTCAACCCCCTAAGCGGGGGTAGTAGTTATTCTAATACGGGACTGCGACAGTCGGATGGCCAAGAAGGTTACCAAAGATTTTCACCTGTATTTTTTACGTGTTTACCTGTGGGTTCTTGTAAATTTACCAGAGGCTGTTGAAGAGGGCCTTAATTGTTGTGGTTTAGGTATGTGGCAGGTAAATGTAAATTGTGTGACGTCAGAGCAGTTTGGTGAAGAACTTTGATAGGTTAAAGGTTATCTCGAAATATTGTGATAAGTTATTATTGTGTACGAGAGGTTACTGGGGTCGGGTTTTATCAGTAAATATTGCGATAAGGATGTTTTTCGCTGTACTCATAGTGCGAGACAAGCCTAGCCTTGTGAAATATATTTTATAAGAAAAGATAAAAAAAAACAACGATGTTTATTATAGACACATTTATTTATTTGTATATATATAAAATACACATATTATTTTAATTTACATTTTCCAATGTAATGTAAGTTATTTAAATTGCTCATCAAGTGTAAAAGATATGCATATGGTCCGTGGATAACAGACAATGTAAAATATATGAAAACGCTTAAAAACCAGGCATTAAATCGTTATCGTCGAACAAAAAATCCTGAACATTGGAATTATTACAAGCAAATGAGGAATTTAACGACATCAGCAATTAGATCAGAGAAAAAAGCATACCTTAACTATAAGTTTCAAACCTCCACAGCCAAGGAACAATGGAATGAGCTAAGACGACTTAATATACTGTCTAACAAAACTAGTAATATTCCAGAAAACCTACAAAATGTCAATGAAATTAATGGATATTTTACCCAAACAACAAAAACATGTAATATTCCTAAAAAGGATATCTTAGACTACTATAATAACAACAGTTTACTTCCTCAAAATTCTTTTTCTTTTCCTACTGTGTCAGAAGATTTAATATCTCATATTATTCTGGCTATTAGATCTAAAGCCTTTGGATCCGATGATCTAAATATCTCTTTGATATCTTTTTGTTGTCCTCATATAGTGCCTTATATAACTGATATAATTAATTCTTGTATTCAGAGATCTTATTTCCCAAAGTCTTGGAAACTTGCTAATGTGACACCATTACCAAAAAAAAGTAACCCCACAGAATTCAGCCATTTACGTTCAATTTCAATATTACCAACTTTGTCGAAAATATTAGAAAAAGTAATGGAAACCCAAATTCGATCCTATCTTTCAGTTACTAGTATCTTGCCCATTAAACAATCGGGGTTCAGAGCTGGTTATAGCTGTGGCAGTGCTTTGACTGATGTTGTTGATGATGTGGTGAGAGCCCA